AACAACTAAAAATTTTAATCATAATCTTTAATCATCAATCAGATTACGATTTGCCCAACACTGACCCCAACTAAGTTTTTTTCGCTGGAACAGAGGAACGCCACTAATATCCAAAAAATTTTTTATTAAAATGTGGATTTTAATTTACGTCAATTTTATAACGAATGTATATAGTATAAAAATTTTCAAATATTTATATGTACCTATTTAATATAAATTTTTTTTATTGCGTTGACCTGATGACCTGCGCTTAGCAATATATAAGATATATAATTGGTTGAAAATTGCTTGGTAGGAGATGGTATTTAATTTGTGATGAAATAGTAATGGCAGAGTCAGCGTGAGCTGTTCCATCGGGATGATCAGTTCTATACACATTAAAACCAGAAAAAAATTGTTTATTTTTGTAGTGTAGTGGGTTTCCGTTATAAGTGCTATATCTATTTTTTGTCTGTTAGTAGATCGAGTAATTCTGGTTCATTTTGTTTGAGGCCATTGGCATTCCATGAGAGTATTTTAAGAGATTTAATATTTGTTGGATTAGGCATCATTTTTTCAGAACTAATTTGTTGATTAAGTTTGTGAGTAGTTGAATTAAAGGGCAAATTAATAGCTTAAATTCAGAAAGGAACGAGGAAAGCTGAATGGTAATATTATTTTCTGCTGGTTCATTTGACAGTTTTTTGTTTATAACTTTTTTTTTTACTTTGGTTATTTATAGGGGACTGACATTGTGAACAACTTGGGAAAGCTTTACTGTCGTTGATGTTGGGGAGATCTAAGGAAGTTTTTTCAATGGGACCTCCATCCTCATTTACAATGTTATTTCTATTTTTAATTACATTATTTTTATAATTTGTACTTGCGTTGTGTAAACGTTGGAGTTCTTTATAGACTGAACAGTCACGGTAGCTTGTCGGATAGTTACTTCCACATAAGGTATAGGTTGGTGGTTGTTCTTTGGATTGGGTGAGCAGTAGCACAACGGACGCATTTCGGAATGTGTGAGCAGTAGGATTTGGAATGACCGTATTCCTGACAATTGAAACATTGGATGATTTCACGTCGCTTATGAGATTCCTCGACTTTTATTTTTGTGTGGAGTAAATTGTTTATACTGAAAATTTCTTTATTGTTTTCAGCAGGCTCAAGGTTGATAAAAAATAAAGGTAGAGGATTTTTTTGTAGTTTTGTGTAACACATCAAAGACTTGCCGAACTAGAAAACCCATATCCTGGACGGCTGCTCCGATTTCGATAGTTGGTGTAGAAGGGTGAAGGTTTCTGAAGACAACGCGGAAAGCTCGATTTTCTTGAGCTTGATAAGTGTGTAATTCAAGTTTCTTTCGTATAGATACTTAATAAGCGAATCGGAATTATTAGTATTTATTTTCAAATTATTTGCTGTTGCCTTGAATGTGAAATTAAATTAAATTTAAAGTTCCAATTAAATTAATCAACTTATTGCGGAAGGCGAAGAAGTTGTCTATGTTCCTTACAAAGATTGGTGGAGGGGATAATACGGGAGTTTGATCATTTTCAATTGTTTTATCAGTTGTCGTTTTGTTTGTAGTATTTACGTCGCTGTCGTTGGTACTGAAGACGGCGAGTTTTTTTATTAGAGACAATATTTGATTTATTTTTTTTATTCAGTATTCCCGGTGAACTTGGAGAAATATCTAGGTGTGTACGCTTGGGTTTGGATTTGACGGTTTCGAAATCGAAATCGTTGGAATCATTGTCATTGTTTTCGATTTCCATATCAAAGTTTTTGAATACGTCACTGGTACCACTCTGAATACGCGTCGAATGTGAGTTGACTGCTTTGGGTATAGTTGTTTGTAATCTCAGTTTACTTTTATCGACGGATGGTTTTTGAGGATTTGAACTCACTATGAATAATAATTAGATGTTAATTATTATTAATAATTACGTTTTAACTACGGTCGCGGGTGACTCTATAGATAAGTCGGCGAGCCACGCCGCCCAAACGGACGCGTGACCAGACTGTGAGTTCAATTAAAATATTTAATATTTAATAATTTGAGTCACAAAAAGGGGGGTTGGCTATCTTTGGTAGGTTTTGTACTTATGGCAATTTTTTTTTAACTCAATCATCGAAGTTAACGGTGAAAAAATCGATGAAAGAGAAGAGATACAACACATTCACGCAGCGCAACGAAAAGACGACGTGTGTATCGAACGATAGTAACGCAACGACTGCTTAATTTGTTTAAATTGATTTTATTTGAATGATAACCATTGCATAAATGCATGCATATTTTGTACGTTTTTAGTGCATATAATTCTGGTCCCTACTCATAATACATACCTATAAATATTACACGTGTTGAAAAGATACCAATTTTTAAAGCTATATTTATTATCTAAGGTTGCCTAGAATGTACCACATCCTTTCCGTTCATTCTTTAATACTGAGCATATATGTTTATACACGATTAATATTTAAAAATATATTTGTTTTTGCTTTTACATCGTACATATTTTTACATTTTACTTATTTACATTTTTCTAAAACTGAAATAAAATATTGAATTATGAATCATTTTTTTTAATCGTACATTATAAGATCTAAAGATTTATATATAAATATGAACTCAACAACAAGATCCAAAACGCAATAAACATACTTCAGTGCGCACACGAAACTATGAGTGGAATATTTTTTTTTCGCCTTTCTCCCAGTAATTTGGGGTCGGTCATCCTTGTCCTAAACTTCCACTCGTCTTGATTTTCTACATCCCCTACGTACAAACCTACAGCCCTCATATCATTCTCAATCGTATACAACCATCTCTTTTTTGGTCTTCCTCTTATTCTTTTCCCTTAAACGTATATTTTTCATATCCACTCTTACTGCTTTTGATTCCTCTCGCCTCATCATATATCTAAACCATCCCAGTATATTTTCTATCATCTTGTCTACTATCGACGCTACACCAATACTACCTCTAATATATTCGTTCCTTAATCTATCTTTTTTGTCATTCCACTCATCCATAACTAACTATATTATTATATTGTCTGGAAAAAAAAATCCTCGACACAAATTTAGCATTTCAGTATTTTATAATCGTATATTTTCGATATATTTCAATGAAATAGCATACAAAAAGTCTGTTAAAATGTTTCAGATAGTGATCAGTAGAGCCCGGATTTAAATGCACCGAAAACCACACAAATATGCTCTAAAAAATAGCCAAAAATGTCCTTAAAAAATGCATTTTACCACAAAAATGACATTTTTTTTTTTTATTTTGAGCATTATGTAACACACTATTTAATACATTAAAATCACATTCACATGTAATATGAGCAACGTCTGCGAGGTAATACGAACTATATATGATTATTTGTTATTTAACCGAACCCTGGTGACGTTCCATAGTCCAGCGTTTCCCAAAGTGTGTTCCGCGGAACCTAAGGGTTCCGTTGGACAATGCTAAGGGTTCTACTAGATGTATATGATTATTCAAAAACTTATTTTATACTATATTTGGAAAAAATATTATTTCATATAATTTAAAAAAATTGTTTTTAAACTAATTTAATAAAGAGTAATCATTAACAATATTAACAGTATCATTAAAAACATTTTTTCGAGTATTAGTTTTCCTATTTTTTTTTGTTTTTAAAAAAATTAGAGTAGAATTGGAATTAAAGAAATTAGGGTTTCGCGAAACACAAACTGTTTTTTAAGGATTCCGTGATTGTAAAAGTTTGGGAACCGCTTCCATAAACAATAATAAATTAAGGTAAGATAAAAACTGAATCGAAAAATATATTGACAATGTATATGGAAAAACTCGATAAATCTACTTAAATATCAAGAAAATAATTTCTTTTGATTTTATTTTGAATAGGCTAAATTTGTTTAGTACATCGAACATATATGTGTTAAAAATCAACAAAATGACCCAATAATACTAAAAATGCTCTAAAAATGAAAAATGTTGAAATATGCAAAAAAATGCAAAATAAAATTTGTAGTTTTGATACTCTTGTTACATGAAACAAATTATATCCTTAGAGAGCAATGTGTATGATCAACCAAAAAAATACACACTTTGCATTGAAATCCGGGCCCTAGTGATCAGGCATACTCTGTACACACGTCTATATTTCTGTAGATACCAGATTTTAAAACAAATTGAGTGAAACCATACATAAATTAAATTGTTCATATTCATTTTTGTTTATAATATAAAATATTTATTTGTTTTGTGAATATTCAGATATATATTTTATTTATTATTGAAGTAAATAAATTCAATTTTCAATTTTCATGTAAAATAATTAGTAGCTAACTTTTGGTAAATCTAATATGTATGTCCTTTTAGTTGAGTTTAAAATTTAACAATTTAGGCAAGAGTAAACCATATGGTAACCAAATATGATTAACTAGTTTAAAACAGGTGGTTTTTTTTTTAATACACACAATACAACAAAATAATTAATAGTCCAATTACAATTGAGATACACTAAATAACGAGGAACATTAACTTACGCAATATTTCAGCTTGTTCATTATTTGATAAATAATAAAATTTTAATCTCTGGTAAAGCCAGGTAATATTAGCTAATATTAAATAATTGTTATTTTGAAAATTCTAAAAAATCAAAAATCCAACTAATAAATATAGTAATAAACAACAATTTTAAAGTGAACGATAGTTTATCTACCAATAATTGTAGTAAGTGTTCCCATACAACTAAACATAAGATTAGCAACTAAAATATACTGTGAAATTAAATTGATGTATTAACTTGGGTTTCTTGAAATATTTCTTATTGACTAATTAATTCAAACATTTTTAATAATTTTAATATTATATTATATATTTAATTTATATTTATCATGTTAATTTAAGCCTCAAAATACAACAATGTTTCATCAAATAAAAGAAAAATTAAATTCAAAAAATAAAAATATTGAATTTATGGAAATGTGAAATACATATCATTTATATTATATTTATTTTTCTTTATATTTGATAAATACTAAGGATGAAAAAATATATGCAACTTTAAAAAATTAATCAATAAAACTCTGTTCTACACAAGCTTTCACTCTTTTTTCATATTCACGTCGATTTTCCTTGTATAACTGAGCGGCCATTGAATTAGCTGGTGAATTTGGATTTGGATCACTAAGTAAAGACTAAAAAAATTAAAAAAAAATTATTATTATACTATACATGATTAAGCAGTTAAATGTTAAGACCTACCATTTATTAAAACTATGTAGAAATTAGGTTTGAATTGTGACTAAGTATAATTTTTTGATTGATTCATAGAAAACAATATTTGGATACAATTAAGTATAAAATGAGGACCTTTAGTGTGTGTATAGGGGATATAGAAAATTGAGACAAGTGGAGGTTTAGGACTAAGTTGGCCAACCCCAAATAATTAGGAGAAGAGAGGAATTTTTTAGAAAACAAATTAAGTACCGTGTGATAATAAGAAATTGGCAAATTTTAGTAGCTTTGGTTTACAGGATAAAAAAGATGTAAAGGTAAAGAACTTAATTAAAATGAAAAAAAAAATTTAATTGTAAGATAAAATATTATTTTATAAAATAAACCTTGGTTATTCATAGTAACATAAGTGGTATTGACAGTGTAAAGTACATAATTTATACTTATAAATAGGGAACGGATTTGTATGTAAATGCATATTTTTATTAAAACGAGATATTTAAGATTCGATAAGAAATGTTTACGATTTAAATCATTCCTATTAAAATGACGATACTTTTATTTTACATATTTTGGTATAGTTACATATTTTTACATATTTCACTAATTTGTAAATATTTTTAAACATATTTTTATCATTTCATCATTCATATATCTTCTTCGTACGAAAATACAAAAACTTATTTCAAAATTAGATCCAGAAACTTCTATTGCTATTGGAAAAGCTCAAAATATTATGCAAATGAAACATTGAAAATAATTTAATTTTAATTAAAAATAATTTAACAAAATTATTAATAAAAAATATGTCCCCAAATGATAGTATGAAAATTGTTGAATCAGCGATTAAAACTCATAAGCAGACCAATAGATGTTGTAAAAAAGAAAATTCATTGTGTTACAGACAAAAATTCCAGGCTATATTGATTTTAAAACAATCAATGACATAATGAGTGGCAGATGCCCTTCTAAAAATTTAGAATTATCACCTTCTGATAGTATGCGCTTGAAATATGCTTTTAATACATCAATTGATGTGAAACGATAATTTAGTCGTTTTAAAAATATTTTGATAGGTACCTAATAGGTGACATTTAACATTTAATAATATAAAAGATATTGTAATATATATTACAACAAATCATTTTGATAATTTAATAATAATAATAATTTTTTTTTCATTTTTTTCCCCTTCATATTTGGATGTTTTAAACACATATTTTATAAATTATACTTAAATATACATGTACATATTTCTGTTTTTTTAATACATATAAATCCATTCCCTACTTATAAATAAAGAAAATTAATAAGTTTCCAGTAACGTAGATTTATACCATTTACTTATATAAATTAAAAAGAAGTACATACTTGAATTGAAGTTAATATGGCAGATACGTCATATGTAGGACTCCATCTATTTTGTAATATATCTAGGCATATTCCACCATCAGCATACACGTTTGGATGAAACATTTTTGATACGAATCGTACTGCTGGTGCTTTATTTGGATATTCTTCGGTGAACCTGATAGTTAACTTGAATGTACCATCTTCGAACGGTGTATCATGTGGCCTAAACAATAATTGCAAAGTTAAAACAGTCCATTTATAATCATTAATACTAAAAAGAAGAAATACAACCCAAATTTACCCAAATATAACGGCATTCCACATCATAATATCATTGTCGGTAGGCGCTCCACTAACGCCAGTTGGAGGATCTTCCTGTAATCTAATAAGTTATCATGGTCATAGTAACAACCAATCAATTGTGGGTCGGAGACAATTTAAATGCTGAGGATGTAAAATTACCTTTTGAAGTCTCTCATCAATCTCCTTCTAGCTGGGGTAGACATTGTTGATAGATTTCAGTTCAAAAATGTGTGATTTGACCAATGCCAATGTTTCAAAAACGGGTATCGTACAAGATTCTACACTATTATGGGCGACTACGACGCACCGTCAACTACGAAAGTTCATTTTAGTAAATGGCGGCAATCTTTTGTCTCGCGCCGAATCTATTAAAATCACTGACGTAGTAATAATTTTTTTCTTATTACTTCCCCGTTACTCTCCACTTAGATGTCTTAAACAAAATTAACTTGGATACGACCCAAGGTTGTAATTGTCATCTTGTCTACGATTTTCTCTTATCACGGTGGATTGGAAAACTTACAGCTTACGGTTTACAGTGTCGCCAAGCACGTCTTCCCGCCAGACACCCGTCCAACAGCGGAACACTGACCAATCATCCGTTCTCAGTTGCGTTAGAAGGAAAATATTGTTGTTGTGGTTGCGCGTACAACTACTGATACCGCAGTAGTGATTACTAATAGAAGAACGATAGCGAGATAGAAATTGGCGTAACTTTGACAACGACATGACCATTTAGGGAAAGCTCGAAGCTGTCAAGAAGTTAGCGTTCGCGGTCATTCGACAACGTACTGGTGCTTTTGCTCTCAGTCATTTCTCTAGTGCAACGGACAAGTTCGACTAATAAGAGATGGCTTTGACCGGCTGTTATGCATTCATGAAACACGTAGTCACCCTGCTTAACGTTTTCTATTTGGTAAGTGACACTGTTGTTCTCCTGACTTCCCGCTGTCCCTTCGCTACCCTATAAAAAAGCTTTTTTTCTTCCTCTTACAATCTTACCAGTTTGCTGAACATATATATTTAAATCCCAAATGAGTTTGATTTCTGTGTCGCACATCTGTGGGGTTGCAAAATAGTTTATGCAACCTCCATATATGGGCAATCATGGGTGTGTATTGATTATTCTCCTAAATCCGATCGCAGTTGTTAGATACAGGACCTGTTTGATCTTAAGAAAAATAATTTTTTTTCATATTTATACAGCTCATTAGGACTAACATTCCATTTCCATTTTAAGAGACTTAGGACTGCCTTAAGAATGGTTAAAATTTTCCTTATTTTTATCGATGTAATATATCATACACTTATTTTTCTATTAATTTATAAAATTATTTTGTCATATAAATAAAAAATGTAAAAAAATAAGTATTTATCATTATTATTTATTTATTTTTTTTAATTAACTTTAATTATTCCTCAAATTTTGGAAATACATACATAATTCTCACATTTTGATACATAGATATCTATTATATCTATTTCTATTGATTATAAAGTAAACTTTATTATTCTATTATCAATGTTATTACCTATGAATACATATTAGATAATCATTGGATTTAAGTCTGTTGTAATATATATTTTTTACATTTTAACCTAAATAATTTACTTAATTAATTTGTGTTAATACACAACACAATAATACCACTAAAAAGTCTGGAGGGATTGACCAAATCCTGGTTCAAACCAGTTTAGATAATATAGTTTTATTATTGACTGCCTAAATGTTTCTGTTACAAATGGGCTTCAACCATTATTAGTGAATTATTGCATTTAAAAGTCCAATTCTCAGGATATTGATATAGGTGATATGATATCAAATATCAAAATTTTCATATATTTTCTCCATCTAAAGAGCACAAATTATGTGCACCTGGGTTCTGAATTCCAGAAATAAACTTGTCTAACTTGAGAAAAAGTACTTATATTTTACTAGAATAGCTTTAAAATTTCTTGTATTCCCTGCTGTTAAAACTTTACATTTTTTTATTCTATATGTTATGTATATAAGAATATCTATTTATATCATATATTTGTTTTATTTGATAATAAAACAATAAATAAAATGATTAATAATAAAATTGTTTTACTAACAATATTTTTTAAACATTGTCTATTATTTAATTTCAGTCATGTGGCCTTTTATTAATGTTACTTGCAATATGGATGTGGGTTGATCCTATGTTTTCCATAAGTATGGCTCAAGATGAAGCAAGCTACTATACCGGTGTATATTTAATTCTGTTTGTTGGAGTATTACTTCTGATTGTCGGCTTTCTTGGTTGTGCTGCTGCTATTAGTGAATCTCAATTTTCACTTGTTCTTGTAAGGCAAAACAAATAAAATATTTATGAATGATATTTAATAATATAAAGTGGGATTCATTTACAGTATTTCTGTCTATTACTAACTGTTCTTGTGGCTCAAATATCAGCTGCTGTTTGGATTTATGCAAATAATGATAAGTTAGAAGATTTACTTCGCTACACTGTTAAAACAACTGTTCAATCAGAATATAGCGTGATTGAAAGTCGAACTGAAACATTTGATGCAATACAAAGTGGTGTGAGTATTATTTGAGTAAAAATTGTTTTTAAAAAAATATTTCATTATTTCTATTTTTATTTTTTGTTATTATATTTTCTTATATTTCATTTTTTTTTTCGTAATTTAAAATATTTTTCTTATAAACTATCACTGTTTCTGGAATTATGTTTTTCTATGATTCTTGTTATAAATTTATAAGTTATCAATTTGTATTATATTTTGTGATTCTTCATTATTTCATCATAATTGCTTAAGTATTTTTTACAATATTAAAATTAATATTTTCAGTTTAAATCTGTTGACAAAATATATTAATTTTGTAACAAATTACAAATTTTATTGATCATTAATATAATATATTCATTTCTTTTTACTTAATTCAATAGTTTTTTACAGTATATGTTTAATATTTGGTTGTAGGTATGTTTATTTTAAATATTAGTTATTAACTTTATATGTTTATTATTATATTCTAGTTAGAATGTTGTGGTGCATCTGGTCCATCTGATTGGGCTGGAAGTAAATATAATAACCCACAGACTGAAAGTTTAGGACTTGCTCTAAGTTCTCCAGAACAATCATATAAAATTCCTGCCTCATGTTGTAGAGGTGATAAATGTTCATCTGCACAAACTGCTGTGGCTTCTGGACCAATACCTGAATTTATTTATTCTGAGGTATGATTATATTTACCATTTTTAAATATTAATGAATCAAGTAACTTATTGTTTTTAATGTATTGAACATGGATACAATTATTATTTTCAATTATATTTTAGATGCATTAGGTATTAATTATATTTATTATTGAATATAATGATTATTTTTTTTTACTCTTATGATTCTCATAGTTATTTTATTCATAAAGTTTCTAAACTAACTGAGAAACCTTATAGTTTTCTATTTATTACACTTTACCTATTTTTACCTAATTAAATTTATTTATCTCAATAGGGTACTTTAGATGAATTTATATTATAAAAATCTAACTAAAAATATTACTGAAAATTTTGATTTTAATCTTATTGGGCAAGAAATATTTTCTTTTTTTAATAGTTATCATTTTTTTCATATCTAAACTATTAGTGCTAAAAATCTGAAGAAAAAATATGAATAAAATTATTACAATTTCTTTTATAATTCTTTTGTACATCTTTGCTTCCAACATAGATAGCTCTAAATTTGGTTTACATTTGAATATCTTTGTTGTTTATTAAATAAATTCTAATTTCTGATATAAGATTTTTTCTATGGATATCAGCATTATTATTGTACTTAATCATGTTACACAACAGCTGCTATTATAATTTTTGAAGTAAAATCTATTTAGATTTGTACAAATGAGCAAACAAAAGTGACAAATGTTTGTGCATGTTCCCATGCAATCTATTCTATTAATTATTGAGTAAAATATTAGCCAATTATATTTTATTTATAATGTATTTAATAATTTATTTATATTTTCAGGGATGCACTGAGAAAATATTGTATACATCACGAAAAAGTATGATAATATTACTAGTCATATTGGTTGCAATTGGTTCAGTTGAGTTCTTTGGTTTAGTGTTGGCATTAATATTATGTTGTGCTATACGAGCTGTCAATACATATAAAAACTAAAACTAAATGTCAATTTTTTGTATAAAAAGATAAATCTTACCAATCAGATTAAAACATATGTGTTACAAGTATGTAATTAATAAGTAATATTGAATCGTCCATTGAGTCCTTTATTATTCATCTGTTTTTAATATTTATAACGGTTCAATGACTTATTTGACATGTGTTAAAAATATAGTACATTATGCCTTACTAAAATAATTTTTAATTACTAAAACATTTTTATTTGTGTTATCTTAACATATCCACATTTTTTTTATGTTCAAAATTAACGTAGCTTCATCTATATCTTATACATTATGTGGTACTTATGATTTATTTTTTTACTTCTATTATTTTTATTTACAACAATGAATAGAGAAATTAAATCAACAAACTTATCTTACGTATATAACTCCTTAATGTGCCACATTAATTTTAAAACTTAATTAATAAATAATTGTTTTTTAGTAGACAATTATCCAAAATATATTTTTTTAATTTATTATTAATTTAAATCAATAATAATTGCTGTTTATTGTAAAAAATATGTCGTGTTAGATCATTTTTTCTATGTGTCATAATATTTAATAGATTAAAATAATAACCCATGACTGTCGTATGATTATTTATATATATATTTTCACTAATGTGTTCTAATGTTTTTTTTTTATATATATATAGTATTTATTGTTATATTTTTTAGTTAATAGATATTTTAATTTTAATTATACTTATATAACAAACTATTTATAAATATTTATTAAAATTGCTTTACAATTTATATTCATATACCTTTTGTTTGCCTTAAGATAAACTAAATAACAAATTGTAAAACAATCAACTGTCATAAATTTTTAGTGTGTCACTTTAGTCATATAATTTTTGCTAACTTGAGCTAATATTAGTTCCTAGTCTTATTGTTAAATCTCTTAATATTATACTAAAATTTAGTATTATATAAACGCCATTAATATGTTAATGATACATTATAAAATGAGGAGTAACAATTTAGGATCAATTGCTTTTTTCATTGAAATATACTTTTTTTATTAAAAACAAACAATAATAAATTTACTATGTATAATATATCCATTTTCCTAATACACTGAAGTTCAGTGAAGTTATTATAAACATAAGATACAGTCAGTAGATTCAGTCACTAACCATGTACCTTATGTTTCTAGTGAAATCAAATTCAACAATGTCATGCCATCAAACTTGAACTACCTAGTTGAATTAGTCTAGTTCAACATCATTTTGTAAATCACATTATTCATATAATATAATACATTATACTAACTCGTTTTTGGTTCAAGGACTTTTCACCACCACAGTGATTAAGAAGTTGTGATGAGATTATAATGATGATTATGATGATAGTAAATTATAGGAATTATATTTATTATATATATATTAGACTGATGGTACAATAGATTACACATGGTACAAGATGGTTTAATAAACATTCTTTTGTTAATCAAAATTATATTAAGAAACTGAAATAACTAAAACATTCAAATGTTTTTAATTACTGATTTACATTGATTTCAACATAAAAATAATAATCTATTGTACGGATACATTAAATTAAATAAATATGTTTAATTTTAATTTTGTAAAGGTAAGTATACTATAAAATAAATACATTTGTTAAAATATTAATAATAAAAGTAGTTTTATATTTTAATTAAAACTATTTAACAATACAATACAAAGAATATTTTCATTTAACTATATAGCAGGTACTACTAATCCAAACTTAAAACATACAACTTATGTTTATGTTACAGGTATATATGATAAAAAAAAATTTTATGGATAAATAATTAATATCTCCATTTGCTATTGTATAATAATGTATGATTATAACTACATTAAATATTTTTTTATTAACATCTGGTTAAAATTAATAAAATCCCAAGTTAAATGGTCAAATAGACCATTTAAAAAATAAATATCGGAAGTAGAATACCATTTGAGTAAAAAAAAAAATAAGACAGTACAATGGATCTAAATCACCCAAAGTATAATAAGATATATGATAAGAAAATGTCACAGAAATATTACTTATGGCAAATAATAAATTTCTTAGAGTTAAATAAATCTAACAAAATATATATAACATACATGCAGTTGTTAGTTAAATTAAGTTTTTATATCTTAATCATAAGATAGTGCCTAAAATAATACAATCCGTAACAAACACTTGATTATAAATACATAAATAATTAAATTATATAAACGTGAATAAATAAACATGTGTAAAAATTAAACATTGATAATAAATTAATTATAATAATAAGGTATAAGATTTTTATTACATAGTTTTATATAAATGCAATGAAATATTTAAATAATTTTGTGGAGATGGCAATATACCCCATAGATATATAATTCTGATATTAAAATGTATTAAACTTATCATTTTTATATAATCTATAAAATAGTTTAAATAACTTCTTTATTTTGCTATCTATTTTGTATACAAATATTTATGCAGTCATTTATTTGTTTATTATTGAGATCCTATTATGATGAAAAAATGTAATTATTTTATGAATTTCACTGAATAACACAATTATCTTTAGTCGGAACTAAGTTTTTTCTCTCAGAATTAAAATCATAAATATGAACCCCACAATTGATTCGTTTTCATACACTACAGTATAAATGTAATACAAATATAAAATCTACTAAATTACAGCATTTTAGATTATTATTTGAACTTTTTATAACAATGTAAACAATATTTGTACCAGAAGTTGAGTATTTTTAAATTGATTGATCAAAGTAAATCCAAAATATTTCAGATTTATTTGGATAACAAAAATTAGCACCATTTTAATGGTTTTTTAAGTAAAATAAGATAAATATAATAAAAAAAGACTAAATGTTAGCCATAGTTTATGTTGAAAATTATAAATTATGGTACAACTTTTTGTAATACTTAATTTGGAGATCATGAAATAGTATATTTTTAATGATGTGTATACATTTAATATAATTGCACATAAAAAGCCTTTATTATAATATAATTGTACTCTTTAACACGTGGCTTTTGATAATACTCTATAAACATTTTTAAAAAAAGTAGTCTTGTTGATACATTTAATATATTTAACGCGGATGTATACTTTGATCAAAACAAGTAGAACTTAACTGTTGACTATTTGACTGTTCCTTAATTTGTAATCTTTGTTGACTTTGATCAGATTGATAGTGTACTGAATTTGAAGTATAAGGAGTAGTTGGGTCTGAAGTATTATGCATTTTGGATGGTAACATTTCATGAAAACTAATAAAATGACGCCGTAGATAAAGCTTATTTTTAAAGGTTTTTCCACATAATGGACACACCACACAACCAGGTTTATGAATTAATTCAATATGTTGCCGTAAATTAGACAAACTGCTATACTGACGTCCACACTCAGGACATGGTCTTGGATCCAAAGAATGGCACCTTTGTTTTTCAGGTTGTGTTGGTGGAGTTGTTTCAGAAGATTGTTGCCAATAATTTGTTTCTAATTTCCTTCGTTTCTATTGAATAAAATATAAAGTTTAAAATAGTAAACATTTTTAAAAAAATATCTTTATTTACGATTATTTCATTAGGATTCACAAGTTGATTAAGTTGATCCAGTTGGTTAGCAAATAATCCATCATCATGGTTATCCATTGAATCAATAACTTCATTTTTTGGTACATCTTGCTCCACATTTTCACACAGTGAAGGCAAAATTGAATTCTGAAAAATATTTTAAATTTATATATTTTCATGGATAGGAAAATGTAATTAAATAATAGAATTATTTGGGTAAATATATGTGGAAAACCTTAATAATTTAATTTAATTAAAACTTATGCTGGATATAGTGAATAGATTAAATGTCATCTCGATAACGTTAAATAAATTTATATATATATATATATATATATATATATATATATATATATATTTCATAAATGAATTTAATGTGTTTAATAAATAATAAAATTTATTTATTTAATGTGAAAATTATTAATGTTGTTTAAAATTAATAGATAACCTTATATAAGAGCAAGACTAAGAGATTTTATATTTACTTCATTTTTATTAAAGCCATTTTGAAATCCACGAACATTAAATGTTTTGGCAAGATTAAATAACCTATCAACATTATTTTGATTAACAAGTACTTCACCCAAATACATAAAGTCAACCAACGTCTTCATAAGCTCATATTCCACATTATGCATGATAACTGTTACATGTTTTGATGGATTTGTCTACACATAATATTATAAATGTAATTAATTATAATTTTAAATAAACAAATAAATCAAGTATAACTGTTTCATTAATAAGAATTATAAAATTAATACAAAAAAAAATATAAATATTACCATGAGTATTTTTTTAAAGTAAGGACTACAAGCAGATAATATGACTTTATGAGCTTTGATGAAATGGTCTTCGCAACACAGTGTAACATCAACGAATTGTTCGTCATTCCGTAATGACTCGAATTCACTAGTGAAATGAGATGAAAAATCATCCCACCGCATGCTATACTGTGTGGTAGTATTCATTGTAACACGAATGACAGAAAACTAAAATTTAGAGAAAAATGATTCAACGATGAACCCCGTAAAATAACTTTCACGATCCGCGTCTATCAAAGTTTCCGAAATACTGATCTAAAAATGTAAATAGTTTTTAAAGATAATTGATAAATGATAATCTTTTGATAGTTACTATCATACTTTCATTTGGGGTTTTCCTCCTTTATGGCAGTGGTTACCGTGTGGTTATCTTGTGACCAATGTTTGTAAGGTTACATTCATGTTTATGCGGTTGTTATTATATTCTTCTAACTTCATATCGTTTCGGGTTATGTTAGTAAATTGTAATTCTTATGTCTCTTGTTGATAATATTTTGAATAACCTACTAAAATTTTAACGATATAACACGTATTACGTTTCAATAAAAGTAGTTGAACAACTGTAGAACAATGTCGATTGGTGTTCCTATTAAAGTTTTGCATGAAGCCGAGGGACATATCGTAACTTGTGAAACGATCGATGGCGAAGTATATCGCGGCAAACTCATAGAGGCTGAAGACAACATGAACTGTCAGGTAACTATTAAAGCTTTTGTTTTGTTTTGAAGAAAAAAAAAACAGTTGTATGTTTTCGTTTTTTTTATTTATTAAGGTTTCACATGTCACGGTTACATATAGAGATGGTCGTGTCGCTCAGATGGAGAATGTGTATGTAAGAGGATCAAAAGTACGGTTTATTATATTACCAGATATGTTGCGAAATGCTCCTATGTTTAAAAGTAAAATGACTATGGGTGGAGCAGCTGGACGTGGTAAAAGTGGAATGATACGATCATCAGGTATATCTGAATACCAATTTTTTTAAAAACAATTTTTACTTTATGATAAATATAATTTTTATATTTTAGTTGGCCGAGGTCGAGGCCGTGGTGGACCCCCTATGGGTCGTGGTGGTCCTCCCATGGGACGTGGAGGACCTCCAATGGGTGGATCATGGAATCAAAGACGTTGAGGTTAAAAATTGATACCAGATGCATACATACTTTACTTTTAAGGTTTTTGATTATAAATTTGAATGTAAGATTTCAAATAAATAAGTATTGACAATTTTCAAATAAATATACAACATTCGTAATTTTATACTTTTTTATGTACTTATCATAATTTAACCAAATCTGCAAATGTATTTAATTAGTATAATGTTTGATTATAAATATTTAAAGCCACTATATAGAATTCTTAATATATAAACTTAGTAATAAAAGTATAGCATCAATTAATTTTTTTTTAATATTGTAATAAAGCTAATGGTCATTGAATTAAAAATAAAAATTATTAGTTCTCTCGAAGGTTTTTTTCATAAGTTGTATCTGTTAAAAGACGTTTTTATTGAATTTTTATAAGTGCTATCATTTTATATAATTAGTCAAAGATTGATTGAATATTGCTTGAGTGTGAATTTTGAGATTCAGATAGATGAAACAGCTTTATCTTTCATCTCATTTAATTGACTAAGCTATAAATTTTCTCAGTGATCCTAAATATTATATGTTTTACATTTTTTAATGTTTGGATATGAGTAGGAAGAGATTATAAGTGATATTGAATGAGTAAACAAGTTTTGCAGCCTTGTCAGCTTGTTTATTATTTACCATATTATAGTGGCCAGGATGTGGATGTATTGTAAAAGTTTACCAATAAAGTACTCCAATATGAGTATAGAAATTGGTTGTGAATCAGATTAGACGTGTCACTATGAATTAAAACCAGACTAGTTTAAACTTAGTAAGAATTTTAGTTTTTTATTCAGAATGAAATTTGCAAACAGAAATTAACTATTAATTGATAGAAATAGGGCCGTATTGAGGTTTGGTGATGCTCCTGGCGAATCACTTTATTTGTGCCTAGTGCTTGGAAAAATTAAAGAAGGGGAACTCTATTTACTTTTAAAAAAAAAATAGCATCCCCAAAACTTGTTAAGCGTTATAATTATAACGTAATATAGTATGGAAACGCTATCTACATTTCTGAAAATTTGTTGGGCTACACCGTCCCACTCAAGTCAAGCACTGTTTGCGCCCCCCCTCCCCCACTCAATGGAAAATTTGCATTATTTACAAAACATTATTTGAGATATATAAAGCATTTATAAGAACATAGTATACAAGGTAATAATTACTAATAAACTAATAACTATTGGTATTACTTTAAAATACAAACAATCAATACATTATAAAAACATGTAATTTTCTTCAAATATTTTGGTTTCATGATTGGGTTTGATGATTTTAAATTTATTTTAATACAACAATACAATGGTACTTTTCTAGCTTTTATAGAGGAATATTTATCAATGACATTATCTTTTTCTATTGATAATAGAGGTATACTGGTGAGATAACTGACCTACTGTTGATTTAGGATAATTTTTTATAATTTTCAGCTTGCTGAAACTTCTTTCACGAATAGCTGTTATCAATGGATTCTCGTTAAAAATATTTGGAGTGCTACCTCTAAGTTCGGATATAAATCTTATAAAGAATATTGATGAATATGCTTTAGAAAATCTATTTTTGTACTTTTAAATTATTTTTATTTAAAATGTTATTAAGTTTGGCATACCGTATGTATTATTTAACAAATAAATTAAATACATTTAAATACATTTTTCAAATATTTCATAAAAAATATTAAATTAATAGATAAATAAATAATATATATATTTATTTATTAACAAAACCAAATAATTCCTAAATAATTATCCTGTTTTCAACTTAATTATACAATAAAAAAGTTTTAAGAAAATGAAAGAGAAATCATAAACCATAGGTTTTTCATTTTCTGAGAATTATCTCAAGATATTAGCCTATAAATAAGAATTTGATTATATATCTTTAGTAAATTTAAGAATATTTAAAATATCATACATGAATGTAACTAAATATAATTAAAATCAATATTAATTTAATATTAATCAATGTATACATATATTTATAGCATAGACCTTAAACTTATTATACTATTAGTATAAGGTCTATGATTTATAGATCCAAAACAAAGGATTTTTTAACCACTACTCTATGGACCCCTAGGGAGTCTATGAAATAGTTTTGAATTTTCTTTGAATTATTAAGTCACAAAAACAATCTGTAATTTATTATTGTAGCATAATGATAGCAATACTTTTTTATATTAACAGAAATCCATAAAATAACAATTAAAACTAAAGGTTTTTTCTTATAAAGGATGGAGAGGTTCAGTATCTATACTAAATTTAAAAAAAAAAAAATCCATGACTTAAAAAAGGTTAAGGAAATACTGCTACAATTGAATACATTACAAAAACTTAGCTACAATCATAAATGTATCGTTAGATAGTAATCATCTTCCTTCTATTTAAAATATATGCCAATGATTTCTTATTTGTACATGTGATATGATTAATTAACAGTAAACAAAATAAAATTACAAGTATGAAATTATTTTACTTTAAAGTATTAAGATATTTTATTATTAAATAATTATATTACAAATGGTATATTAAAATACTTGAATTAAAATTAAGATTTCTTGCTTTTAACCAATAGAAGGAGTCATATTTTGTATTAGAGTAATATTTTCTCCTTTCAACAGTATGCGCCCAACTGGTTTGCGAGAGTCAATTTTAGTGTTAACTTCACAAGCTTCATCCAACACCAAATTCATATATTCATCAAATCCGACAATATGTCCCTCGATTCTTAAATGAATTTTCTCTTGGAGCCATACCTGTAAATACCACAATAATACACAATAACATAGGTCTTTTACGATTTATTAAAAGAATAAACTCACCTGAACTTTAGCACGATTCTGCAAATGTCGAAAAATAAGGTTTATAGGTTGTACCATAACTTTCTGTACTTTCTGTGGAACTTTATAAGACATTTTACTAAATTTTTTTACTATAACTTCTATAGGAATAATGAAATGTTCGTTTCGGAACCAAAGATTAATTTATTAATTCGATGTCATCGGCAAATATAAACAACGGTGATAACAATGTTTTGAGGTTAGCATTTCAATACGTTTCGTATCTCTAAGAACATACAGAATTCATTCAACCACTGTTCAAGGTACAAAAAAAACTTGGTAGTTCTGTGGTTGCCATAGATAATATATATATTCTGTAGCTGTAACTCGGAGTAATAATAATAAATGTAAATAGAATCACTGTTATGTTATCTCATAAATATTGAATTATCACAACTAAATGTAATATTATCATAAAAAAGGTTATGATAGATTTCCGTACTGCCTTGTGCACATTTGAAATTTTTTTTCCTCAATTTTAAATTTTTATAACGATCAATGATTCGAATTAAAATAAACTGTTTACCCAGTTATAGTTGTAGTTTCATTTAATCTTATATAAAATTTAAATTAATATGAATCTTATATCTGATTGTGAAAAGAATTTTCTGTTGGAAGCTGCATCTCAAAAAATTGTGAGTTAATTGGTTTTTATATTATTTTATTGATAATTTAGTTAATTTTTAAGTTCATTAATTTTTTTTATTTATTTTTTTTGATCTTTGTTTACAATCTGGCAGCATAGGCTATTAGTTACAAGTTAAAAAACATTATGGTTATGTATTGTATTTGATCTATTAAGTTTGTAAGGTTTAAAAAATTTTAAATTTCTTGTGTAGTCCGGATCTGGACCGAGGAATATTCAATAGTTTATGTTGCACTTATATAGTAATATATCAGTAATTTAAAGTTTTATTCATTTATGAATATTTTTTTTGTAAGTTGTGTTAACTGTTTACAAAATAATGTTTTTTAAATAATTTTGTTAACAAATAATATATAGTGTAACACGAGTTAATTATTTTTAAGCAATAAACGTTTATTATAAGATAATTTAAAAGTTCTAATTCTAATTTGTAAGTGTTTTCATGTTTCAATATATAATATTCATATTTAAGCAATAACTAATGGTATCAATTGATTCTAATTAAAATAATATTTTTAAATAATAATATAAAAATAATTAATGTGAATTAACTAGTTACTATAAATGTTTTGGTTTTAGCGTCTAGATGGTCGTCAAAAAGATGAATATAGAAAATTAAATATCGAATTTGGTCTTGACTGGGGAAATTGTTTAGTAACACTTGGAACTACAAGGGTATTTGCTCAAGTTAGCTGTGAAATATATCAACCAAACCAAAGTCGTCCAAATGAAGGTGTTCTTCAAATATCGGCTGAACTAGCCGGAGATAATAAACTTACTGATTTAACTAAAATCAATCAAATATTAGAAAGATTCTATAAGGGTTCAAAATGTGTTGATCTAGAAGCATTATGTATAATTGCCGAGGAAAAAGTAAGGTTACTTATATATATATTATGTTTTTGTATATAATATTTGTTATGTTAACTAAAAAAATTATTTTTTTAAATTTGTAAGAAAATTACTGCAATGACAATTCATTATTAAGTATTTAAAAAATAAAATAATAGAAAAATGTTATACAGGTTCCAGAAATTAATTTATTCATCATAATATTCTTCTCTATAAATGTATATTATAAAATTTTTAGCATTGCTTATAACAATTTATACATTCAAACCAAAGAGAAAACTGTTATATAGAAGTATAAAATACAACTTGAAAATCAATTTCAATAATGAATGTTAAAATTATAATTGTATCAAAGTTAATAGGTAGTCGAGTTAACTTATAAGCATTTAATGAGGGGTATTCGTTTGTAGTATGAGTTATACTGGCAAACATATTCTACCTACTGCTATAGAATGTGATTCATCTACACCTGGCCGGTTTTTTTAATTAATATTATCTTATCTTTTAATAATACTTTATCTATATAGCTTTATTATTTATTTATGATATTCAATAACTATGCTTTGATATTTTTTTAAAGTATAGACTTAAACTTATTGTGCCACAATTTATATCCAACCATAGACTATCAATAAGTTGGCTAAAGATTTTTTTTAGTTATAAGTAGTGAAGAAGTAGGGATTTTTTAATTAATAAAGTTGGGAAACAATAAAAATGAATTATGTTATAAATGTGGAAGTGATATGAATTTATACTTACTAAAGGAGACGGGTAAAGAAATGTATATTAAAATAATGTCTATTCTATACTATATGACAAAGTGACAATTAAATTAATTTTAAATTGATTTATAATCAATAAGTATTATATTTTGGTATAATTTTTATTATTTTTTTTAATTACTATTTTTGAACAATAATTAATGAAATACTTTTGAATAGTGGTTTATTATTTATTTATTATATACACATATTATTATTTTATTATGGTTTTATTTGTTTATTAGTGGTAGATCACCACTTATAAATTTACCGATGGACCAACCGCACACTATATGACCCCCTAATTATGAATTAATTTCAATTTACCTTCACAGGTATGGAAAATTAAAGTAGACTTAAGTGTTTTAAACATGGATGGCAATACTTTAGGTTGTTGTTCAATTGCAACCCTTGCAGCATTAATGCATTTTCGATATCCAGATGTTGTTTCAACTGGGGAAAAAGTAATTGTCTACTCTAGCTCAGAAAGAGATCCTATTCCATTATCCCTTCATCACCATCCAGTTATTACAAGTTTTGCTATTTTTGAAAAATAGTAAGTTATTTTACTTCAAATTATTGTTAATAATATTTAAAGTTACTTAAAACATTTTATTTTAGTGATTTTATCATTTTGGATCCATCATTTTTGGAAGACAAAGTCTGTGATAACAAATTGTCTATTTGTTTTAACAATCATAGAGAACTATGTGGTGTAGACATTGAAGGATGTGCCTGTTTAAGTCAAGAGCTTCTTATGAAGTGTTCAAATCAAGCTGCTACCATTGCTGTTGTTCTTGTAGATAAAATAAAATCTGCTATTCAAATTGATATTAAAAAACGGTAAAATATTTTTTATGGTTTTTAATTTATAACCTATTGGGAATATAAACCAAATAATTATGTTATTTTTATTACTAAAAACTTTACCTAAACACAGTTTAATCTATGATTTGGTCTTGGAAAAATAAGTTCTATTAAATAATCGCTGTGTTTTCATTATCTTTATAACATTATGATTTATTTTTGTTTTGATAGTTCTAGTAAATCTATTCAAGGCCTGGAACCATCTATTTCTGAAGAATGTGGTATAAAATTAAGTTTATCTGATAAATTCAATTTTGTTGGACCACTTACTCAAGAAAATGCAAATGAAAAAATTGAAGGTTTAATATTATTTATTTATTATCTTGATTGCTGTATGATAATTTAATTTCGATATCAATTATATCTAAGATACTAAACATATAAGTATTTAAACTAATTTTACTTTATTGAGAGTAATATTTTTATTTGTCATTCTTTTAAAATATTTATAGAATATTAGTCTCTGCTACTAACATACAGTACATTTTAAAATATTAAAAAAAAATAGCAATAGAAAAAAAAATTATATACATAATAGCATTGATTAAATATACATATTATTTAATGTATATTTAATCACTAATATTGGCAATTAAAATAATAGTGTATGTACTAAAATCATTAACCAATAATTTCTAAACATATTAATTAAATAATTTAGAAATAATGGAAGTTGATCAAAGTATAGTTAAAGTAACAACAAACACTGCAATTACAAAATGTCACAATAATTTAAATCAAGTTAATACCACCAAAAAAGAACAAGATGACAAGTTAATAATCATAGATCCTGAAAGCACCGAATCATCATCTAATGATGGAACTGATAGCGATGTTCAACTTATTAGTCACTATAGTTTGGATGATAGAAGAACAATAATTGGAAATTATAGTAAGTGTTTAAATCTTATAAAACTATTTTAGTTACCATAAATCTTGAACATATTATTAATACATTTATATGGTTAATATTCATGGGGTATTCATCCTTTAACTGTTATTAATCAATTTATATGTATAATATTCTAGCTTATTTTCATCAAAAGAGTTTTATTTTTAAACTAACTCATCAAATTCAATAAACACATAAATGCAATAATTCTTATTTTAGTGCCTTAGTGAAATGAGGAATGTGCGGATTTAACCATGATGAGTGTTATTTTTTATTTATTTATTCTCCAAAAATAGCAATCATAGAGACTTGACATTTTCATTGAATGCTTGTAGTGTTATGAACATGTTTTATAAGGTTTTTTTTATACCTAACCAAAATAAAATCTATGTACTTCAAAACAGCAAAAAAGTTTAAATAAGCTTTAGGAAATAAAATATTGAAGGAATCAAATATTTCCTAGAATTTAGATTATTTTATGTAAGTAATTTGCTTATTATTTTATAAAAATTAATTGTTGTTAATTAAATTAAATTCTGATTATTTATGCTAGAATTTTATAAATTTTTAAATATTTAAATGAATTTATGCTGTTAATTGTGTATATAATATTTTAATTTTTTTTTATACTTAAATTTTTAATATGTTATAATTTGATTATATGAAGCAACATAATTACATTTTAATATAATTTTCTTATCTACCTAAGTACCTACAAATTTAACTATGAAAAAATCTACCTTTTTTTTATTTTTCAGAAGCCATATCAAAATATTATCTAAATTGTTATATTAATATTTTAATATTGTTTATTAATTTTTTTCCAGTTGTTTCTGATGGAGATGATAGTGATGATAGTGATAATAGCGATGTCGTAATATTGGATTAAACTAAATACAATTTTTGTAAAAAAAAATAAGTTAAATAAAAATGTTTATATTACAAAATTTAAAATATGTATTAAATTTTATATTAATTTTTGTTGGTATTATTTTTTTTTTTATTTAATAAAATAATCTTATTTAGTAAATATGTAATTTATAAGCCTATGGTATAAATAAATATGGTTATACTTAAAAATAAGTATTTAAATACAAAAATATGCAAATTCTTAATGTGTTTAAAAAAAAAAACCAAACAATTTTATTCAGCTGCTGTTTCAGGTGCCACATTTAGTTTTAGTGTGTATCATATTCTCAATTAGAGGGATTAATATTTTTTGTTTAAAGTTAAATCTATTAGGAGACTGAAATTTGTTTTTTGATTTAAAATACATAAAACTATAAAAAATTCATAAAAAAATAAGTACATCAATAACCTTAAGTTTAATCTCTATTGTATTTATATAACATAAATAACAGAAATTATACATAACCAAATGGAATATTAATAAAAAAAAAAAATTAAAAATATTGTGTAGCATAATGATATAAATAACATTTATAAGTGAGAAAAAAATATTTAAAAATTATGAATCTACTAATCACTCAAATATGAGATCATAATCATAAGTAAAAATTATAAAAGTATTAAAATTTGTTATTATTTATATTAGTATATTTCAATAAGTAGTTCATTTTACATTTAATGTATAATTAATCTGAATCTAAATCATCAGAGTCATGTCCTGTTTGACCTCTTATTGTCTTTTTCTTTTCCAATAATAATGTTCGATTATTTTTTGTGATATCTGGTGGATTCAAAAGGTCACCCTTATAATCAATAACTTGTGATTGTGCCAAACGCCATTCCAACATCTCAGTTGAGAAATCATCACAATTTCCCAATTCAGTAAAACCAACAATGAAGTCTTTTGACACACTATCAACTACAGAAACTAAAGTTGGTATCACTCGAATTTTCATGCGGTCTGTCAGAAATGGAAAACGCGTAACATTTAGTTTACAAAAACGTGTTTCCAAATGTTGTTTGCATAATAATTTTAAATGATGATCAATTATTTTGCATCGAGTTGATCCATCTTTATAAAAATGCAATACCATATTAGGACTAAGTTTTGATTTTTCAAAAAAGTTCTTCTCATCGCTCAATTCTTCATATTCCCCATGTCCCTGTAATTAATAAGATTGCTCATAAAAAAACAATTAAAGAAATTATTAATATTTACTTTAGCCATCCATTCTTCTTTTTTTTTAATCATTTTTTTCATTTGTTGTAAACGGTGTTCACGTATATTTTCAATACTGTCTAAATCTAACTCGTCAAGGCGCTGGATTTCTTGATCAATTTTTTGTTCAATTGATTCAGCAACTTTCATCAACTGCTTTTCTAAGACGTTCTCCATTTTTTATGTGCTACTAAAATAAAACCACATTTTAATTGGAACACCTGTCATTTAAATGTTCATAAATAACGTTTTACCAGTATTTGTAGAGAGCAGAAGCGTAAAATTTAAAACGTTAAAGGAATGAATAAATTTAACAAAAACCCAACGCTACACAATTTCCTTCGTATAAACTATTGGCAATACAATTATTTCATATCGATTTAGTAAGTAACGTAACAATACTGAATAAAAATATTAGATATTACAAAACTAATACGGTTCGTGGGCGATAATTCCAATTGACAAGGACCGTGGTACTACAGTTGTTGATAATAATATGAATTTTAACCCGTTCATGGAACTAAGAAAATATTATTTTTTATAGATAAAATGACAAGTATGGTAGATTCTTTATCAAAATCAGTTATGTATTATCTAATCAAGTACAGTAAATTATTTGAAATTTATAGACGAACAGATATTATAAATCGTATCCTGTGCGCAACTATAGAATGACCTTACGTTTCACTTCATGTACATGTTACTTGTCACAAGTTACAATCATAATTTAGATAAATTAGTCGAACGTCCGTATTTCGGTAAAAATTGAGTGTTACTTGCAATATTTTTTTTCTAATCTATAACTTACAATGGCTCTTAAAATAAAAAAATACGAAAAAATGATTCGCGTAAATCCTGTTGACGATAAAAATACAAACATAAAAGAAACAATTAATGTGATACGACTTCATGAACTTGAATATCTTAAACACCTTATTATTGTTAATTCATTAAGGCACATTGAAGATCCCGAGTTAAAGAACAAATGTAATCGGTTAACTATTCATTGGAGACTGTTTAAAAATAACGAATCCGTTTTTCCATTTGCGGAAATGTCGAATATTGAAAAAGACAAATTTAAAAAATGTATTGAAGACTGCATTAATAAAGAATCTTCTGAGATTATCAAAGAAAAAAATTCTATTCCTGCAGGTACGTTTCACATTTTACTTACTATTAATTTAAAAATTATTATTATATTGATATCATAATTGGAATTTTTTGTAGATCTCTTAAAATCGATTGAATTAAGATCAGCTATGCCCAGTACAATAAAAAATAAATTAACCACTTTGTTGTCACTTTTAAACACATTTGCAAATAATCGGAAGGAAATATATCATTCAATAATTAAATTACAGGATAGTAACTATGTTAATAATGAAAAAGCTCAGCATTTATCTAAGCAAATAGATTTAGTACAACAACGTGCAAAGTAAGTAATAAATGTTTTGTTCATTGTTTTGATTAATTAATTAATTACTGTTCTTATTATTAAAGTGAGTTGCTGAATAACATCATCAGCAAGTTATCTAATTCAGATAATTTATATGAATCACTTGTAACACAATACAAAGTTAAAGAAAAAGAATATGCCGAAAATTTGGAAAAATTTGAAAACTTAAAGATTCTACAAGATAAATATAACCAAGTAGATGGGCCACAATACAAAGCACTTGTTAAAAGATTTATTCAAGCTCAAGAAATTATTAAAATTAAAAGAGAGATGTTTAATAGTTATTAGTATAATCATATCTTGATAAAAATAAATTGATGTACAATATGTAATATGTCGTAGGAATTAAATTGTTAAATTAAGTAAATCTGAAGACCTAAATATAATAATAAAATATGTTTCATTAATTTAGTTTACAAGCAAATTATGAATTGTATATTGTTTGTATTATATTTGCTAATAACAAATTTTAATAACTAATATTTAAAATAATAACCAAACCCAATGGGGTTTTTTTAGATTATTTATCCATTTAATATTTTTTAAATATATTAAATTTACTTACTGTAATTTTTTTTCAAATATGGTTCTTAATGTGTTAAAAATTAAATAGAAAAAAAATATTAATTTATTGTAAGTTAAGTGAAAAAAGTTGATCAATTCTCCCTGCCTTAATATTTGTTCATATTTAAATTATTTTAATAAAAAAAATAAACTTTAATTTAAGGATATCTAATTGCCAATTGTGCACCAAAAAAGCTCTATGCAATGGTTTTCCACTTTTATAATATTAAAAAATATTATATTAATTGTTCAATATAAATTATTTATTTTGGAAATATGTCCTGTTAACATTAACGAAAAATATGTAAATAGTTATTATGTGTAATCTGCAAATGGTTTAATTATGATATGACAGTTTTTTCAATTTATAATCATAAAATAACCATTTCATGTACTCTTTGGTACCAGTGTTTATTTCAGACTATCTCTTATGGTATCATACATTTTTAATGAGGTACAATCATAGAAAAAGTATACATATATATATATATATAGATTATGTACCTATGGATACATCAAAAGAAAAAAAATGTAAGGTAAATACAACCATTTATTATGAATAAATTTCCTGGGTTAATTCATTTTACCTAAAATGATATTACCACAAAATACATAAAACTCCTTTTCACCCAAAAATAAACACTGTATAGCAATCAAATAGGAGCCGAGAAAAATAATTAATATAAATCTATAACTTTTATAGTAACCTAAGTCCGATTCATACTGTTACGGCACTGCAAAATATTAAATGATTAGTTTATATGAGATAATTCACATTAATGCGGCCGGCACCCAATGCCGCAAAAACGCACATGGGCCCCAAGGCTTACATACATTTGGGGGTCCCTCTAGTCCCAGCTTAAAATAAACTACACTTTACAAACCCACAGTTATTTAATATTATATTATTATTTTATAATAATAAGAAAAATTTTTAAAATTCATGTTATAATATTTTAGAGTAATATAATATTTATTTAATAATGAGTCCATTGAGTATTTGAATAGGCATACAACATACCTGCCTGCCTAAACTACTTAAATAAATTTACTACATAAATATGTAGTGAAGTATAATATACAACAGTTGAAGGTATTTAATTTGATATATGCATATATCATACACTGACTGATGTGAAACATGTTTTATAACCTAAGATAATTGATACTTATTAATAAGACGTACAACAAAAATAAATCCTAGGAAGAGGCCTAATATAATTACCGCACACGGGCCTCCTATTTTATAGTTGCGGTTAACACTGCCGGCACCACAAAGTTACGTTACAGAACGGACTGAACCGACAAAAAACATAATCCGAAAGAATGTTTTGACAGGGCGGTACGTACCGGTGTAAGATGGCACGTTGACCAAATTTTAATGGCACGCATAAAAAATTGACATTATTAAAAATTATACTCAAAAAAATAAAATTATACTATTTATAAATTGTTTGTTGGTTATAAGAAATTCAAAAAAAACAAATTATATAGGTTTTAAAAATGACAATATTCCTTATGCTTAGATATTTTTCGTCAACTTATGTTAAATTTAATTAAATTGAAGGAAAGAAATGTTTTGACTGATGAAACAATTGTTGCTTATGTTTCATTGAGAATGACTAAAATTTAATAAAAATAATATAATAAATCTATAATTTTATTTTTATAAAATATAATTTTTTTGGGGACGTGAACGATTTTCAAAATAAAAAAAAATTTAGCACTTGAACCAAAAAAGGTTCGCCACCCCTGATCTAGAGAATTCATATTGAACTCATAAATAACATTTGTTATGCGTAATAAACATGAAATAAATTTTTTTTCTTGTACATATTATCATTATTATCATTTTCCTGAGAGTATCCAAAATCATCGTTGATAACTATTAGATAATCCAAGTAATTTATAAATTTATTATAAACTGAAACAATCAGGATATACCGTGTAGCCACATGCCGCTTTATCATGTCTAGTACTCTAATAATTCACTAGAATTCTAAATACAAATTATTTGTTTTTCAATGAATACACGTACCTAGATGCATTGATTAAGTATACATTATGCTTTATAAGTATAAAATAGTTAAATATGATCAAAGCTATAGTTATAGTACACCAAAAATTGCATTATCAATAAATAACCAATGAAATTTGTTTTATGTCCTTAATGTAATTTTCTCTTTTCAGTTATAAAATTCAAATTTTTAAAAATAATAAAATAACTGAAATTAACTGCAACTACAGGTACCTATTCGGTAGGAGGCCCAGGTCTTAAAATTTTTATGACGGCCTACCGAGATTTCCTCGGTATCTCGTTGGGCCAATAGTTACGCCTGTACCGAGTTGATTGATTTCAATGGCAATTTCTTTCCAAAGCAATTTTTTATTAAGATGATCACTATATTTTTTATTACTCATACCATATAATAATTTAAATCATTTATTATGTATAAAGCCGGGTTTACATTGGTAGAGTATTTGGTAGAGTACACTAGCCTACTATTTTGCCTACTCGCTCTACTCTACTAATTTTAGTAGATTAACTGTTTACACGAAGCTAGTATTTAGTAGAAGAGAGTGCAGTTGATGTGTAAACTCACGCCGTCACGGTTAGGTTTGATCAACTTCAAAATATCAAATAATAAATATGGATATCGTACGTCGTCGTCATTGTCGAAAATTATTAAAGAAATGCCTTCGAATGGTTACAACTGCGTTAGTAAACGACCCACCAGCGCTATCGTGTCACTTTCAGACCACTTCATTTTTAAAAATTATTAAAACCATTTTTATAATGAAATAAAATGATATAATACAATACGATCAGAAATGTAGAATAGTTATATTATATTATAAGATTTAAAAACATTAAACAAAATTAAAAATGTATACAAAGTTTAAAAATAAATATGAATACACGTGCCGGTTCAGGCGATATCAACAATATTTTCTTTTACTATACCAAAATTAGACTGTTTACACCAGTAGAGTGGTGGTAGAGTACAGTAAAAACGGTGGTGGGGGTAAAAGCGAGTAGAGTGTACTCTACCACAGTGGTTAACTACTCTACTATACCGATTACTATCTTTAGTACTCTACCTATACTATTCCTGAGTGTTTACATTATGCTAGAAACGGTAGAATACTCACTCTACCGTCGTACTATACCAAATACTCTACCAATGTAAACCCGGCTTAATTCCTTCTTGTGTTACAGTGTGACCACACGTCATTAGTTCTGCCATATAAGTTTTTACAGTGATAACATAATCGTTAAAGTATTATATTGATTACTCTTTGACGTTTAAATATTATTCTTATTAATGTTTAAATAACTTAATATAAATTTTCTAAGTACAGTACTTTACCCAATCACTTTTCTTTTTGTTTACAATGACAGATCTAGAAAGCAAATTGCTTGGTGAAAAATTACATAACTACTGTAGTAGCAGTGATGAAGATGAACCAATGCTTGACCGAGATCCTCCTAAACAGTCTACTTCAGACTGGGATGGAATATCATCAAACACTGGACCGAAAGGTGTTCTAAACGACTGGGAACAATACAAACGCCAACAAACAGCACAGAGAGTGCAACATGAAAAGGATGTGATAAAGCAAATTAACAGTACGGCTTTAACGTGTAATTCAGAACTCGATGAATTGGATGCTCAATTCCTTGCTGATTATCGCAAGAAACGTATGCAGGAAATGATGGCTAAAACTGAAGAAGCACCAGTGTTCGGTAAACTCTATGATTTGTTAACTGGAGATGATTTCTTAAATGCTATTGAAAATGAAAATCTTAATGTTACTGTTATTGTACATGTATATGAACACAATGTACCTACATGTTCAATTATGAATTCATGTTTAAAAGTTCTGAGCAATGAATTTCAGAAAACAAAATTTTGTAAACTAATTGGATCAAATGCGGGAATGAGTTTAAACTTCAAAAAGTGTGGTGTTCCAGCTTTACTTGCATACAGAGCAGGACAACTTATTGGCAATTTTGTACGTATAACTGATGAATTGGGTGATGATTTTTATGCCAATGACGTAGAAAACTTCTTAATCGAACATGGTGTTCTGTCAGATAAATCATGTATACCATCAATTATAACCAATGACAATGATGGTGAAAATTAAATTTATTTCATGTATACAAAAATATGATTTACAATTTATTCTAAGATTTTCTTATGTGTGTATACTGTATATTAAACATACTTAAACGAGGCTATCAAAGACTAAACGTTTTGGTTGTGTTCCTGAAACAAATCATAATTTTTATTCAAATTAATTGTAACATTATATAAAATATATTAATAATCAATTATTAATTATACAAATATTATTCTTTTAATTTATGAAAAAAATTGTATATATTAATTTAGTTAAAATTATAATTGCCTCCTTCTAAATAATCGGTAAATTTTCGTTTCTGTCCCTTTGTATCCTGATCATCTGGATTACTATCTCTAAGACAAGATGGTAAAGGTAATTGACTTCCTAATGAAGGTGGTGGTCGATTACTGAAAATAATTTTTTAATTATTTTAATTCATTGAAAAAAGAAAATTTATGATAACATATTATTTTTAAGTTATATGATTATACACCTAAAGTAAGGCATTTGTAATGCTTCTGAACATGATGGTCTCTTCAAAGGATTCACATTAAGCATACCGCCGATAACATCTAGTAGTTCATTGGGAGCTGCTGTAAATATTTCTCTTAGAGGAATTGCTGGAAACTTTTTGAATACCACATAGTCTGATAATTTGGCAACATCCTGAAAAAAAAATTATTATTTGCTTTTACAAGTAACAGTACAAAATTTATAATGAATAAGATTAAGTTCTTTAAAATAATTACAGGCCAAGTTTCTTCATTTGGAGATCCTAAAGTAGTAAATATTTTGGTTAACTGATCTAAATCAGATTCACCGGGTAAAAAAGGAACTCTAAGCAAGAGTTCTGCCACAATACATCCAACTGCCCAAATGTCAACTGCAGGTCCATAAGCTCGAGCTCCAAATAAGAGTTCAGGTGCTCGATAAAACCTAGTTACTACTCGATGTGTATGTAATCGATCAGGTGTTCCAAATCTTTTTGCTAAACCAAAATCAGCAATTTTCAATACACCTTTTTTATTGACTAGCAAGTTATTAGGTTTTAAATCCTGTAATGAATTGATATAGGTAATTTTTATCTAAAAACTAATAAGTTATATTCTTACTCTATGTAAAATCCAATTCATATGTAAATATTCTAATCCTTTAAGAGTCATTATAGTATAGGCTTTAATATGAGATTGGGTGAATACTATTGATGAATCTTTAATGATAACTTCAAGATCTGTGTCCATAAAATCATATACTAAAGATATATTAGATAAATGACCGAAAACATCTGAAAAAGAATTTTATATAGTTAAAAAGTGTATAGTCTAAATTTTTTTTTTTGATTTTATAAAATGTTATACCAAATAAAGCAATAATATTTTCATGATCCAGTTCAATAAGAAGTTTAATTTCTCTTAAAGCAGTACGATTAACACCATCTTTGGCATCTTCCACAGTACCAACTTTAATCTAAATAAACAGAAAAGTTATTTAAAAAAAATACAATATTTAAATGTACCAAACATACCTTTTTGACAGCTACAATATTGCCTGTGACTGAATCTTTAGCTTTATATACAGTAGCAAACTAAACAAAAACAATCAAAATATATTTAATTATAAATATTATTTAGCTTCATATCACACAATTATTTTATACATACATAACATCACATTACTAAAAACTTAGTATTACTTAATAAGTTAATTCTAACCAAGAACATTTCGAAATTATGATTGAGAGTTAGATTTTAAATCAAAAATATATATAAGCATTTTACCATGAATAAGTACAAGTTAAAATAATATGTTAATTATTCAACAAAATATATAGGTTATATATATATATATATATATATATATATATATACATTATAAGTCAAAATTAATTATGTATGATAAATAAATGGCAAACATTTATTATCTATTATATATGTATTACAAAATATGAAAATACTTTTGTGTTGGTAAATATTAAAAATACACTGCCAAATGTCAAAATCCAGGAATTTAATTTATGAATCTCCATTTCTCACTTTGGTCACAAAATAAATAATTGTAAATAGGTTTGTAGTATTTAAAAATTTACCATGCAACCTAACAGAAATCAGGGAAATTATTTATATTCACCTGTCCTTCGCCCAAAAATTCAATAATTTCATATTTTTTCGATTTGGAATCCATTATACATACAAATTAAGACTAAAAAATTGCACATTCACAAATAGAAGTTAACAATAGGAGTATAATATTAACTAGATAATTAAATAAATTAACGACATATAAAATTTATTCACATGTATTATATGTAATATCCACATTTATACAACATAATTTCTAAAATTCTTTATTCAAACATGAATATTACTAATATAATAGAAATTCTAACGTCGTTAGGTATGATAACTGATAGTATTTAAAATTATAGTTTTTCAACTCATTATCATGAAAAAATATAAACCTAACCTAACTTTATAACTAAAACATCTAAAATAGTGGTTTAAGATTTTTCTAAGAAAATAGTGGAAAATTTGATTTAATTTAAATTTAAATTAAATTTACAAAACATTGAAATTTAATACACAATTTTGATTTTTGTTATAGTCTTAATTGGTTTAAAAGAATTTATAATGAATACATAATAAATATATTAATAATGATAATGTAATAATTAGTACTTATTAGATTTAAATTTCTTTGTCAGTTATCATGGTTGCTACAGTATCATCATCTTAGGAAGCATTCAATATAGAACTATTATTAATGAACACTTTTTATAATAATTAATAAAATAATAAATAATAATAATATTTATAATAATGTTGCAATGATTATTTTTCAGGAATGGCATTTTCAGCGACTGTGAAAGAATTATTTTGGCGCTTCTCTCTCTCAAACATATAATTTAAATAGGCAGTATTTTAAGTCCCATGCATAATCGAAAATGCTAAAAATAATTTTTCAAGTGTGCTTACAACTCCGTGTATTTCTTAAAATTAGTGATGAAAACTTAGTTTTGGTTGGGTCGTACAAGTTTATGTATCATGTAAAATACATGGGTTCTCAATCTTTTGAGGTCCGCGCCCCCTTTAAAACTATTTTATGAGTTCACGCCCCTAAATTAAACTTATACCATTTAATTTCGCGCATGCACATAACAACATTTCTTTTTTAATGGTAAAGCCACTTTTTTTCTAGTAATTATTTTGACAGGTATTTTGTTTTAGATATATATTATGGTCTTATCACCAGGTCGGTACCGGAAACATGTTAGATTGCCTCTTCCGACAACACAAGGCGTAGTGATTATTCTTTACTATCGTAATACCGCCTAAGCGATAAAAATAATAATAAGAAACCAATGAAAAAAAAGTAAAGGTTTATTTTTTCTCGTGTCAGGCACACTATAAGATAGAAACAATCGTTAAACACAAAATGTATAAATAACAAAGTATACATATAGATAAGTTAATAACTGCAAATGTAAATATAAAATAGACGATCGAATAGATAAAATAATTAAACAAATTAAAATAATTCTAAGTAAAGGTTAATAACCAGAGTACAAAAAAATAAAAATTAAAATGAAAAATAAGTGTCAAATGACAGAATGCGGAATACAATAGAAAGAGTTAAAAAGGCCACGAAGATCAAGGTTAAAAGCTGGCCGATAGCTCGCGACGGTTGTCTACGAATGTTTGACGATACTTCGTCGTTTCACAGAACTGGTTCTTTTAATCAATCAGAAAAAAAAGATCGAAGATCACCACCCCTATTTGGATTATAGTTTCGGGATCACAAGCAATCATAAGATAGATAAAGCTAACTAATCATAAGCAGGCATTATATTTGATGTCTAAAATATACACAAGGTGATATAATTATTTCATATTATCATAATTTGTTAATATCTTCATTGTTAATGGTTGAAATTTTGTTTGGCATATTCGCAATCACCGACTTCATTTATTCGTTTATAATCTGGTTACTTCTCATGACCTGTTATTCGTTCTGTTATTTCGTCAAAATTTGACTGAAATAATGTATTTTGATACTCCCTTTTATACACCGAAACTCCATTTCAATACAAGGTCTTCAAACTGATATATTTAGTGATAACTTTTAGCGTGATCATACTTTATGTATATATTTATAGTTTTTAAATATCTAGAAAATCAGAATATATTATTCGATAAGGTAAATACAAAAAATAGTATATTGAACAACCTTGAAGACACTACAAAAATATAAAATATTGCTCGGGTGACTAAAATTATAGCGTCTTAACCCTTTCATGAGATGGTTAAGAATATGTTCATTACATATTTATATACTATTCTATATAAATAGTTGAAATATTTCTATTAGTAACGGTTCAATATTATTTGTCATATCATTGATTACATTATCATATTTAATAATTAAATAGCATTAAGATTATGTTATTTTATTATAAAAGATCAAGGATTATTGCAACACCATGGTGTGACAATAAAATTTTTTTTGATAAAAGAAACTCATAAAACAATTCAATACTATCTGTATGTCGACTAACATTTGTAGATCACGTATTGAACCGTCACCTTAAGAAATAACTAATAATAGGTTTGCTTTTACAGAGCCGGGGATTGATTACTACCACCGAAAAAGTGTTTGTCGGTGTACAATCTACAGAACACCTTCGATTCAATTTGGTTAGTGTTAAATATTTTTACTACAACAGCCATTTTTTATCGCGTAGGTTCACAAGTTCTTTAAGAAGCATGGTACTACGTTGAGAATACATCCCTTCCTCGTCGTTCGAAACCATATTCGTCAGTTTTCTTATTGTTTTTTTCAGATTGTATACCTGTAGGAATCATACGAACGCATACGTTAGAATATATTGTTGACTATCTATTTAATATTTTAGCTACAATTACTTGTTCCAATTTTTTTCCAGCTGCTTTTAGTAGGCGACAAGTATTGTCAAGCCCTCTGTTTGTCAGCTTATCCGGTACGATTTGCAAAAACTCTAATAGAGTATGTGCAGATAACACGTTTGCATTAAATAATTCACCGACAAATCTAAATTTAACACATATAGAAATAAAAGGTTTTGTTCCACCGCTAACTTGAACGCTAACGGTAAAATTACGTGAAAGGTTTTTTATGCGTAAATGCGTTTTCACTCGAATCGCTCTGTATTCCGGATTGCAAAACCTGGTTACAACGGATCAGAACTTCTTTCTTAAACGAGATAGGTTTCGCGTGTTGTTCTACTGGATTAACTACCACGTTTTTCAAAGAAGAACATATGAATACCAACATTGGAATACTTTCTGGGCGAATGTTTGCCTTAAATAAATGAAAACATAAACGATTATACAGCTGATTCAAGTAATTTGAAAAGCAGATTAAATATATTCTTATAATTTAACAAATATTTAAAAATATACTCTGGCGAAGATGAAGTCGATCGTCTTTTCCATCACGTCGGAATTCGAAATAAGAGCAGACAACTCATTTACTGTAGTGTTCACGTTCTCTGCGGTCACCGAGTTAATAACCGATTTAACGGTCTTGAAAACATTTAACTAATAAAATATCGAAACATTGTTAATACTGATATTTATCTATTACAGACAGTAAATATTTTAGTATTTTTTTTCATTTTTTTTTTCGTTAACAAAACGTTTGTGCACTGAATTAAATACCTCCGGGTGTTTGCTCTTTTGGACCGTTGATACCGGATGTTTGTTTACAAGGTTTTGTGTTATGTCTCCGATGCGAGACTCTACAATATTGTTTTCTTCAATGCGGTCCAATAAAAGAGACTCTTTACTGGTGTTACGATCCGTTAAACCGTCATTCTTCAGTTTTAGCGTATCCAGAATTATGGACTGCACTCTCGAAGATAGTTTTTGCTTTTGCGCAATGTTTTTCATTGACGAACAAATAAAAGCGTATTGGGGACTCAATATCGGTTCGTTCATAGCCTATTGAATTTAAAAATTACAGATAATACATTCAACTGGTTTCGAAATAATATGTTTCACAAATATCAAGTGACAAACTTAATTAATCCTAACGAAGTGTTGTCGGCAGGCAATTTCTACATCCAAAACAGGCAAGTCGTCAAAGGAGGGGCCTTAGGGGGCCTGGCCCCCTTCATTTTGATTTTTAAATATTATGCTGTTTAGTTGTCTCAAACCGGCCAAATCCTAAATGTAAATTCCATATGGGTGATTGTAAATTCCGCTAGAATATCGGTTAAGATAAAAAGATAATAAAGGTCTAGTGTAAACTCCGCCAGTTTTTTTTCTTACCTGTAATGGGAATATGTAAACTCATCAAGTTTTTTTTTTTTTGTTTACCTGCTCAGTGCTCACATTGCCACGTGCCTTCTCACATTAACTTCGTTGACATCTATTGTGATGATATATGTCGAAATTGATAAAACTATTTTCATGGATAAGTGCAGCAAACCGTGGATATCATGCTATGAGAAAAATGTTCACATCGAAATTGCTATTTAGAGAAACAAAGAAAAAACTATACATTGCCTACTTGCGCCCCATTGTCATGTATGGATGTGAGACATGGTCCACGACGCAGGATGACGAGAATAAACTATTGACTTTCGAAAGGAAAATACTTAGAAAAATATATGGGCCTATATTAAACCCCAGTACTGGTGTATACGAGCGAAGAAAAAACGCTGACTTAAACAGTCTGTTTAAAACAACCAATTTAAAAGATTTTCTAAGGTCGAAAAGGTTAGAGTGGGCTGGCCATGTTTGGCGTGTAGAGGGTAAATTGATAAGACAGGTACTCATCAACAAACCAAATAAAAAACGACTTGTAGGAAGGCCAAGACAACGGTGGTTGGACCGAGTAAAGGACGACCTGAAGAGATTAAGCAATGGAGCAAGTATTGAGGATGCAGAAGATCAAGAACTTTGGAGAACTTTGGTAGAAGCTGCGAAGCGCCTAAATGGCGCGTAAAGCAAAAAAAAAAAAAATTTTCATGGATTGATTCATTTCAAGGTGGATATAAATCCACATTGATTAATTTATTAATAATTTTATCTTCATATTATCTAAAATTAGTATTTCCAATGATGATATCGGCAGTAAGTAAGGTATACGTAAAGTATACTTTGATGAACATAATCATTCGTAGTCTGCGTGTCTCCATGTATATTTTATATTGAATGGAATATGTTGCAACAAAGTAATAATATAGAATAAATTACTGGTCAACGAGGCAATTTATTGGTTTTATTTAAAAACTACAAATATAACTAAAATATAAAATATGCGTCTGGTGAAATAAAATGGAGGTTTGATATTATATATTATAATAATAATATTCACTTATTATTACTTAATATGTATTACTTTTAATAATATACCATATTAATTTTATACTACAACTCGATTTTCTTCACTGGCGGAGTTGGGAGTAACCGAATTGGTTCCCGTTTGAAAAAGGTATTTTATTAGGTATAGCCGAATTGGTTCCCGTTTGTGTACAGGTAAAATAAGGACAATTTTAATTTTTAAAATAATTTACTTAGAATATTAAAAATTAAAATCTAGCGGGCCAGTGCATAAAGAGCAAAAAACAAAATTTTAAAAACTATATTTATGATATAATAATAGTCACAATTATTATATCTATAAGATAGAGTATAGAAATATAGAAGACTATAGATTACTAGAGACTAGCAAATTACAAGCAAATAGGAAAGAAATAACAAATACTTGGAAAATTGTATGACAGATTACATTAATGAGAAAATTACAAGAATTTAATATTTAAAGAAAGTTAGCTTCAAATTTGCAAATCAGTGGTTTTAAATTGTATTTATTATATTTTATTATTTGTATTTTGTATACCTAAGTGATGAATAGTTGACTTCCAAATCAACGATTTAAAATTGTATATATTTTATCATTTTTTTTTAACACACATTAACGCACATTATTAATCAAACCTACTTTTAAGTTGACAGTCCTAAGCCTATAAAATTAAGAAGGAAAATGTGCGTAATTAAACGGGAACCAATTTGGCTATACCTAATAATATACCTTTTTCAAACGGGAACCAATTCGGCTATACCTAATAAAATAACTTTTTCAGGCGGGAACCAATTCGGCTATACCTAATAAAATAACTTTTTCAGGCGGGAACCAATTCGGTGCGTGGGTTTGGAGCTCGGGAACCAATTCGGTACCAGCCACGGAGTTTACATGTATTTAATTTTACCTGATTTTTTTTAGTGGTGGAGTTTGCATGAACCCAATTTTACCTGTTTTATTTTTCTGGTGGAGTTTACAGTAAAAAAAGGTACTTGTGGCCAGTGGCGCACACAGGGGGTTAAGGGATTGTACCCTCCCCCTCGAAATTTTCTCCGATGTCTAGGTTAAAATTTACAAATTTTACAAGTTTGAAATATGAAGAGCTAGTATTGAATACCTAGTATCATTGATTATAGAATAGTCTATTCTATAATCAATGCTATTATTTAAGTCGAAATATATAAAGGATTTGCATAATTTTTTTAATTGTAAAATGTGTTATATTTTTACCTTGACCCCTCCCCCCTGAAAAAAATCCTGTGTGCGCCACTGATTGCGCCGGAATTTACATGCGCCCATTCCATATAATTAACGATCGTATAACAAAAATTTAATTCTGAGATTCTATTTTATAAATATTCGTCACTTGACAATTTGAGATAAGACAATAGTACGTATATTAATAGATTGAAAACTAGGAATTCCAAATACGGATATCGAACGCACATTTGATAAACACAACTACAGAAAGGGGCCAAAAAATGATGGCCCCCTTATAGAAATATGTCTGGGTACGTGCCTGATTCAAAACTAATATTATTTTCTTGTTTTGTATACGTTTTATTATCATATAATATGACATATTTATATCACATTTGTACACATTGTGTATTTTTTTGATTAATAAAAAATAAAAAATAAATGTTGTGTATATAAATATGTTTTATTTTTTTGATAATAGTACGGGAAAAAAAATCATTTTGACGTTTAAGAATCATTATTGAGACAAAATCGACGTTTATAGTTAGATAATTTTACAAAGCAAATGGAAAGAGGTGTAGAAGGCAACTGGTAACACGAAAAAGAATGTCAAGAGTGGTAAAGTTTCTGATGGTTCGGAATTTAGTTGTTGGCGGGTGGTAGGAAAGTATACATTTATGTTTTTTTTTACCGACTGCTTTCAGTAGTAGAGAAATCTTCGCTCCGCCGCTGCACCCATACAATATATATATAAATAGACTAGATATAGAACATTCTTTTTTTTACGTTGTGATGAAAATAGTTATAATACGATCTAGGCTAACTATATATATTTAAATAAAATAAAGTATTATGTAGGTAATTATAGTGCTATTAATTTTGTAGGTACTAAAATTGTTATGAAATTTTAAGTGTTTTGAGGAGTGTAGTTTATTAGAAAATAAATAAATAGGTATCTAACAAAAAAATAAATTATAAACCGTATGTAAATTGATTTAAAACTAATTAATACGAATACTGATCTAATTGTAATTTATATTTTCAGTATAACTTTTTATAAAGAATTAATAAAAATTTTGAATTTATAAAAGTAATTATTTCCTGAGTAGGTATGATACAGGTAATAGGTACGTATATTTATTATATATATATATATATATATATATATACCAAGAAATTTTTTTTTAAAAAGTTCGTAATCAATGAAATATTTTTAATGATTAAATAAATGAATCATTATTATTATTTATTTATATTTGATAATATAATTTTTATATTAAAATAATCTGTTAGCTATATATCATTGTATAACATAATAAACTATAAATTTGTTATCAATGGTGTATTATTTATCAACAATAATTCCATTTGTTAGTGATTAGTAAATAGTATTTATTGCTTATTAGTATGATAAACCCGGTGTATAGAGAATTAACACTGAAATAATATACGTGTTACAATTATTTGGTATTTACTTAGGAAAATTATATAACTACGAAGATACCCAAAGTTGAGGTTCTTATTTCAAGTAATGGATGATGTAAATGATATTGAAGATTTAATAACATCTGTTGCTGATGCTGCTGAAATTGGTAGAAATAAACCACGGAATGTAGTTCATTTGCGCCATAAAGCTAAAAACAAACCAGTACAAGCACAAGTAGTAGATTATAAACCGTCGTCTCAAGTTCCTGGTACTCAAACAATATACATTAAGACTTGGGGTTGTTCGCACAACAGTTCAGATGGTGAATATATGGCTGGTCTTCTTTCACATTATGGATATAAAATTACTGGTAAGTTAATTTTAGGAAACCCCCTTATTGGTGTTTTATTTGTACATTGAAGTTATCTATTATTATAGATGATAAGACTATTGCGGATTTGTGGATACTTAATAGTTGTACAGTGAAAAATCCAGCCGAAGATCATTTTAGAAATGAAATAACTGCAGGAAAAAAATCTGGAAAATTTGTTGTAGTAGCTGGTTGTGTTCCTCAAGGGGATCAAAAGTCATCCTTTATTCAAAATTTGAGTGTGATAGGTGTTCAGCAAATAGACAGGGTAATAGAAGTAGTGGAAGAAACATTAAAAGGTTTGTTCAACAACATTTCTTTTTTTCGAAGCAATATTTTTTATTAATTTTCCATAGGACATACTATTCGATTGTTGGGACAAAAGAAAATAAATGGAAAAAAAGATGGCGGTGCTAGATTACAGTTACCAAAAATTCGCAAAAATAAATTAATTGAAATTATTGCAATTAGTACTGGATGTCTAAATCAGTGCACTTATTGTAAAACAAAACATGCCAGAGGCAATCTTGGCAGTTATCCTCCTGGTAATTTAAATATAAAATTATTGTTATTCTACAACTATTAACAATGTATATTTTAGATGAAATTGTTCAGAGAGCTATAGAGTCGTTTAATGATGGTGCTGTTGAATTATGGTTAACAAGTGAAGATACTGGAGCATATGGGTTAGATATAGAAACAAACCTACCAGCACTTCTATGGCGTTTGGTGGAAATTATACCTGAAGGTTGTATGATGCGTATTGGTATGACTAATCCTCCATACATACTTAATCATCTAGAGGTTTGTTATAAATATACTTAATGTTTAATAAAATATAAATTATTTAAATATGTTAGTTTGAATTTTATAAAAATATATTTTGTAGGAAATAGCAAAGATATTATCTCATCCTAGAGTCTATGCATTTCTGCATGTTCCTGTTCAATCTGGAAGTAATCAAGTTCTAGCAGATATGAAACGTGAATACTCAATTGAAGAATTTGAAGCTGTTGTTAATTTTTTGAGAGAAAAGTAAATTAAAAATGATCTAGCATTTTTAGTTTATTACTTATACATTGAAAGTATTCCATTTTATTCTTTATCATTATAGAGTCCCTGGCGTTTCAATTGCAACAGATATTATCTGTGGTTTTCCAACCGAAACAGAAGACGATTTTTCTGAAACCATGCATATTTGTGAAAAATACAAATTTCCGAGTTTATTTATTAATCAATTTTATCCTCGAAAAGGTACTCCTGCTGCTCGATTACCAAAAATCCCTACAGACATGGTAAATTAAGATATATAACAATTTAAATTTATTATTATATAATCATACTACATTTTTTTATAGGTTAAAACCCGAACTAAACGTCTAACAGAATTATTTCATTCGTATACCACTTATGATCATAGAGTTGGAGAAATTCAGGAAATTTTGATAACTGAAGAGGCTAAAAGTGGTAATGAATTAATAGGCCACAACAAATTTTACGAACAGGTTAGCTTTACAAATGAATTGCATTAGATTTTGATGAGTATTTAATTTGTTAAATTAATTAAAAATAATTTTTATATATATTAAGTGGTAGAATTTATGCACAATTTTGAAAATAAATTAAATTTATGATTTAATACTTATTGAATTAATCAAGTCATTATTTATGTATATGTATATATTACAAGATTATCAGTATAAGTTTCAAAATGTATATGTTAGAAAATTACCAGTATAAGTTTCAAATCTAGTTTATATGGTTGCATAGCTGATAGGTTTCTACATCTTGTCATTATTTTTTAAATTATTGATAATTAGGTAGGGAAGGGCATCTATTATATCAAGTCATACTGTTTTTCTAAAAATACTATTGAATATTTTTATGTTGTATCAAACACTCCTGAGTTTCTTGAATCTGTTTTTTATTAATTAATGCATTTTAATTGCATTTAATTGTTTTTCATGGTTAGTAAGGCTGGGTTTACTCAGTACTTAGTATTAGTAAAACCTAGGGTGTGAGTGAAAAACTATCTCCTCATGACTATACTACTTGTGGTTGCACTTGTAACATGTGACTGCCTAATACTTGAATTAGTTCTCAGTAGTATTACTGTATTACTTGTATGTAAATACTAAAAGCTTATTGTGAGTGCTAGTATTGTGTGAACACTCAACGGCAGTGCAAGTACAAGTGTTCAGTGTGATTGGCAAGTATTAATAATTAATAGTAAGCATTGTGTAAACCCACCATAAAACTATCCCTCAATCTTGTTAACTAAAATTTTTTCTTCAATTATAAAACTGTAGATTTAAATTTAAGTAAATTTATTTATTAAATTTAGAGTACACTTTAAAATATATTTCTAAGATTAATTTAATATTTTGTTTTGATAAAAAATAATATTAATAATTAATTTACATCTACTTTCTCTTCAAAATATCAGTCAGTCTAACTTCATCATTCAACTAAATCAAATTTGTATTAACTAGTTTTTATTAATAAAAATGAATGTTTGACTTTTTGGTGGTATATTCACCATAGGATTATTAGATTATTAGACAATTAGAATCCAAATATTGGGGGTGCTGAAATTGCTAAAAATAATATTTATGGTATTTGACTGTAATTATCAAAGATTGATCTAATAAAAACTGCGGTGCTAAAGACCCTCTTATGCCTATTGTATTCACCTTATATATTATAAATTAATTAAATATATATTTTGAGAAGCTAATCATAAAGAAATAATATTTTCAAGTTTTTAAGACATTTAAATTGTACTACAGTGTTCTATTTCAAACAGAATAATACCAATTGTTCAAAACTAATTAATTCCATGAGTTTAATATTTATCAAAAAAACTTTTCAATCTTTATTTGAACTCAATGTTATTAAAGTTGATTACATTTTTTGAAATACTAAATAATAATATGATATTGTACATTACCTTTTAAAAATAAATGTTATTATAAGATAAACCCATAAATAACAATTCATTTTTTTAGGTTATAGTTCCGAAAGAATCAGAGGCATTGGGGAAAAAAATGAAAGTAATTGTGAAGTCAGCAAAAAAACATTGCCTGATTGCTGAAAAAGTTCACCAACCAACAAAAGTATTCAAAGATAAACTTCAAAGAATCAATAATATTTATTCAGCATGGCCTGTATTTGCCTTAATAATTTGTGTTGTAGCAAGAATACTTTGGTTATTGGTATAATCATAAATAAAAAAAATGTATTGTACATAAAAAAAGCAATTATATATTTTCATCACCTCCATGTAACTTCAACTTCATCTGTTCTAAACCTAAAGATGAATTAAATAAACTGTTTAACTTTAGAATTCAGAGAAAATTATTTTAAAATTTTAAGTATAGATATTACCTTTGAGTACAAAATGTTTCTTCCCATTGAGCCTTATATCCACTTTTATGCATCAATGCTCCTGTATGAGCAATCATTACTCCATTATCAATGCAAAATCTGTAAAATATATACATAAAATAGCTTTTTATTAAAATTTATATTATTTGTTTGGCTTTATTTTAGCAGTGTGTTTAGGTGTAAATTTAACATTATTCACTGTAATTAAAACAGTATATTTTAATTCAATATTACAATAAAATTTATTATTTGATCAATAAACCTTTCATCAGTAGCATATAACGTTGCACCTCTTTCATCACACATAATTTTCATCATTTCTTGTAATCTTTCATTGCAGCCTACACCTCCAACAATAAGTACTTCTTTAGACTGACAGTGAGACATGGCTCTTTCTAAAAAAAAAAAGAAGATTATGGTTTAATTTGATTAAATTATTATTTACAAAGGATATATTTTATTTATTAAGTTCAGTTTTCCATAAAAGAAAAACTATTTTAAAAGAATATTTGAATTAAACTAAATATTAATTTACCAGTAGTTTCAATGAGCATAGCAAAAAGTGTTTCTTGAAGTGAAAAACATAAATCTTCTGGAGTATATTCCCCTGATGATAGCAATAATGGAGCTTTTTCTTCAATGTATGAAAGTATACCAGAAAATGATACATCCATACCTTTAACAACATAAGGTAATTTGTGATATTTTGAACCACTAAAAAAAAATATGAAAATAATTTTATAATTCTTAAGCATGTTTAAGTGTTTTATTACTTTTTAGCTAATTGTTCAATATTATATCCAGGACTAGGATCATTGGATAATTTTAAAACTCTTGCAAATCGATCTAAACAATTTCCAACAGCAATGTCTATTGTTTCCCCAAATATTCTATAACGATTCCCAGAGTATGCTATAACTTGAGTATTTCCACCACTAACATATAAAACAGTAGGATTGTCACTGCCAGTGATTAAACGACCCATTTCTATATCTAGCAAATAATTGTTAAGAATAATTTTAATTTTAATTTGGTTTTATTTTTATTTAATTTAAATGAATTGTAAGTTTTGAACCTTAAATGGCTTCTAAAGTTATTTAATGATTTGTTTTATAAATGTTATTTTAATTTTGCTTGTATCTCATAGTGTTACATTAATAATTAAGATATGTAGTATAATTGTATACAGATTTAAAAAACAGAGAAGTCTTAAAATAATGTATAAATTTGAAAAAAAAATGAAGCAGTGATACAGAACACTTACTGTAAGAAATTCACAAATTTAAAATGGTAAAATGACAGACATTAACTAGTTTTTTAATGAGTATTGTAAATAAACAGATGTTAAAAAAATGGATATTTATAAAAAATTTTATGAAGCTCAAATCTTATAAGTCTTAAAAGGATACGTGCAATGCAATGATTGACGGGTATTAGAGGTTTATTCCAAAGTTGAGCAACAGTACGTGCAACAGCAGCAACGCTAACTAATGGAGCTCCAATTCCAGGACCTTTAGTAAAACATACAATATTGATTTGGTTAGGTTGAATACCAGCCGTTTTAAGTGTTTCTTCTAATAACGATATAATATTATTTTGATGATGTTGAGCAGTTTCTCGAGGTAAAAATCCTAAACATAATGTACAGAATTAGGTTTTTGTACGTGACAATGTAAAATATAGAAGTACAAACCTTCACCAGGTGGTGTTATGTATGTTCTTCTACAATTTGATAAAACCTCGCCATCTTTAACGATACCTATTCCTAATTTATTTGCACTACCTTCAAATCCTATACTTATTACCATTATGAAAAAACTTGGATTAGTTTAATGAAATAGTATTTATGAAGTAAGAATTAATTTCAATTAATTAGCATAATTTAGCACATTTAATAATTGTTCACATTTAGAACAAATGTTAAAAATTTGCAAATTAGCCACAAATGACAATCGTGGGCATGTACCTACATTGGAAGTTGGTTGAGAGATCATGATTTAAAATATTGATAAGGTGGTTGTTTTCATAATATTTGATATAAGTTGAATGATTGAACCACGGTTACACAAAAATTGTTAAGGCACCTACTGTAAACCCATTTATCATATGTTTTTCTCTATTTAAGTAGGTATCCTAATTCCTTCCGTATTTTCGCGAAAATACTCAATACATAAGTGATTATTTGTTTATATTTTATTAATCATTGAATTTTGTATTTAATTTGCATTTAATTTATTCTATTTTTTTTTAATTTTTATTTATAAGAAGTTTAGTGTTTTTAATCTGTTGGCAATTTATTACATGGATTGTCTCATATATAGTTTTTTTTTTCATATTTTATATATTATTAGTGATGGGGTGAATTTAGCAAGTCCCGTTATAAATATTGTAATATATTTAATAAAATATGATAAAGACTTGAAATTAAATAATGGCATAGTGATTTGACTTATAAATATATTTAAACACAAGATGTCGTCAAACAATACAATTGAAAATTCCAAAAACACTGGTATGTTAAATTCATTACTATGTAATTATTTGTTTTTATTATTTTTTTTTTTTTTTTGTTAGATATGCTTACTCGAAGTTATTCAGACCGAAGTAATGATCGAAACAGAGATACCAATAGTAATCGAGAGCGAGATTATGATGGATTGAAGCAACAATGTGATAAAGCAATGCACGAGTTGATGATGTTAAAACGGTATATAACTATTCTGAAGTAAAATATTTAAGTTTTAAAGTACTCATAGATTGTATATAATTTATTCAGGCAACACAGTGATACAGTTAGGAGATATGATCAAACAAGAAAAGAATTAGATTATTATCGAGGTCAAAATCAAGTTATGATGAACCAAATTGAACAGGCTGCTCAAGAATCATCTTCATTGCGTGCCAAATTAGCTGTTGAAAAACAAATTTTGGATAGATCTCAACAGGTATTATTACTATTTTTTTTTACATAAACTATCCTGATTACATTTTTAAATTTATGTACTTAAATGACATCTTATAGTATATTTTTCGATAGTTTTAGGAATTTTAAGCAATTTCACATTATTTTTGAATTTAATGTTAACCACAACAGTATTAAGTAATTCAGGAGCTATGATTTTATAATTAACTTTTTATAAAGCCTCAATCATAATTATAATAATAATAATAATAATATTCAAAACATTTAGTTAGACATATAAATATCTTATTGTTTTTTATTCATTAAAGTTAAATAAAGATTCTAAAAAATCTTTAGAAGTAATACAAATATATTTAAAAAATACCATTTTTCTTTCATAACAAATAATTCCATAATTTATCATTAAATATTTTATTATTTTTAAAAGCGAACTATATTTATACATCATACATAAATGTATTGTGATTCCTATGTTGTGGAAGGAGTAATATAAAAATATATTGTTTCTGAGTTTTGAATGAATAGTTCATAAAGGGTCTAAATACCATGCTGAAAGAGCTAAGCATATGTTAAAATTACTTTTTTTAATTATGCCAATAGTTAATACAATTTTTGTGTGTGTTTTGTATATTATGGTTGTATTCATGTTATAACTATTGTAATTAATTAATATATATATATATATATATATATATATTATTGGCATATTACAATTATAATTGTAAATTGTAATAATACAAATTTACAGTTAAAGAAAAGAAAAATACAATATTTGTTTTTATTCTACTGCATATTAATATTATACAAAATTATAATAATATTTTTAATTTTTTCAAAATATACTACAACATTTTTAGTTAAATTTTTATTTTGTTTTAATTAGTATTATAAACAGATACACTTTAATGACTGTTGTACATTTATTTTATAGCTATATAAATGCTACATTTTTTTTATTTTTATTCATAATAGTTAAGACTTTTATTTTATTTTTATTATTAATGATTATTAAAATATAAACATTTTTTAGTTATATTCTTTTATATTGCAAAAAAATTGATAAATTTTGATTTAAAAAAATTAAACATAACTTTTTTTTTAGGATATTCCCGAAGATGATACGGCAAGTGGGGATTCACTTAATGATCACTTTATGTCTTATGATTCAAGATTAGAAGATTATGAAGCTTTAAGAAAGAGATATGAAGACTTACGTACTAATCATTCTGCAGCTGTTGATAAAATGGATATGATGAAAGATGAAATTAATCAACTTAAAAAACAATGCAACGAATTATTTAAAGAACGAGATATAGCTCTTCGAGAAAGAGATGGGCTGAAACAACAGTGTACAGCTGCAATTCGTCAATGGGATTTAACTCTTCGAGAACGTAATGATCTTCAAGAAGCTATACAAAAAGTTCAACAACAACATGAGGAAGCTGTTAAGGAAATGAAAGCAGCTGTTGCTTATAGTGTAAAAAGTAGCAAGGAACTTAAAGAATTAAATAAAGCTCATGATGCTGCTGTTAAAGAATATAGACTTATTATGAGTGAACGTGATAGTGTGCATAATGAACTTGAAAAGCTCTCGGAAGATTTATCTCAAGCTTACAATAAAAATAAAGCATTAGAAAATGAAATAAAAACTTGTAGAGAAGAAAAAAGACCTCTACTATTACATGTCGAATCCTTAAAGCGTGAAATATCATCAGCATTACATGACCGAGATAAGGCACTTAAAGAATGTAATGATTATCAAGAAAGATTTGGAGAAATAACAGCCAAAAATGAATCTCAGAGGGAGTTTAAAAGTCATTTTGATTATGGCTTTATTAGAGAAAGGGAAAATCGAAATAATTCACGAGAACAAGTAGCTTCTTTAGATTTATTTAACTCATGTCAAAAAGAACGTATGGATAATTTAGATCAAGCGAATCAGGAAATTGAACGTTTAAGAAAATTAGCTGATAAATATCATGCAGAATTAGATGAGTCATTGGAAGAAGCAGAAGTGTCTAAAAGACGTCGTGATTGGGCTTTCAGTGAACGAGATAAAATTGTGTTAGAACGTGAAAGTATACGAACACTTTGTGATAGTTTAAGAAAACAGCGAGATGATGCTGTTAGCAAATTAGCTCGTGCTATGAGAGATTGTGATGATATAATGAAACAAAAGAGTGATACTGCTAAGGAACTCAATGATCTTAAGTATAAAAATATGCAAATATATTTTTTCTCTATTAATGATACATATATTTTCTTTATAGGGAAAAAATGGAAGCTCAATTGGAAAAAGAAGCTCGTTTGTTACAGTTACAAGCAACTGGTCGATACAGCCAAGACTCTGCCATTGACACTGATCTCCAAGATTGGGACACTGAAATTTTAAATATTGATTTAGTAAGTATTAATTTAATTATTTTTTTAAAATAATTTATCTGTAAGATTTAAATGTTATTAATATTTTATGTATACATTTTTAGGGTGTCCTAGGATCAAATGAAAACTTAGGTATTGATTTACTAGGTGGTAGAGATGACCCTTTGTATCCCAACGATAATGCAATCTATATATCATCTGTCAATAAAGGAAGTATAGCAGCAAGGAAACTAAGGTGAAATATACTAAATTAAAAAAATATATGGTTTTTACAATATATATCCATATATTTTTTAGAGTAAATGACTGTATACTAAGAGTGAACAGTCTTGATTGTACCTCAATTAGTAAGCGATTGGTTTTGGAGACTATAAGATCATTGAGTAGTGCTACATTAGTCATAAGACGAAGAAAACCTGCTTCTCCTTCTAGGAGTCTTTTCACTACTCAATTACAAGTAAATAATTATGATCATGGAATTTCATTAGAAACTGGTATATACATTAATAAAATAACCCCAGGATCTCTAGCTGCTAAAGATGGAAATATAGATGTTGGTGATAGAGTATTAAGTGTAAGTTAATATTTAAACTATAAATAAAACAATTTTCTATTTTTTAATTTCATTTGGTTTTAGATTAATAATACTTCAGTAGATAATATAAAAAATTCAAGAGAAGCTATGTTATTACTGCATGAACCTGGTGATGTGCTAACTATTACAACAATGAAATCAACTTATTGTGCTGGAAATTGTGGTTCTGGACCTAACCGTGATATTTATAAAAAATATACTAATAGTACAACACAAACAGATAAATCTAGTTACTCAAGATATCAAGAATCTTATCAGAAACCTCAATATATTCAATCCAGAAGAGTGATACTTGATGTGCCAGAAAAACCTCACAGAAATCCTTCGCCTGTCAACAACTCTATCTCTGAGCGAGATCAAGAAGATGCTATAGCAGAGTTAGATTCTGTAATTGATGCTTTCAGACCTCATCCTGCACCTACTACTACTAAACATTCTAGGTAATTATTTTATTATTATTTATTGAAATTAACCTGCTAGATGACATATTTTATATAGTCGTCATAGGAAATCTAAAGAATTAGATAAAAATGGTGGTACTTGGCCAAAAGCAAGAAGTGGTCCTGTGATTGAACATGGAACTGGTACAATACTTCATCCTCGTAAAAACAAAGAACGATTACCTTTGTCAGTTCTTTTAAATAATCCTCCGTCCTGGTCATCACAAAATAATTCAAAAACTGATACTTCATCTATAGACTTTTCTGTCAGGTAAATATTTTATTATATTTTAAAGTAAATTTTTATTAAATTGTATACATGTTTAATTTGACTTTATTTATTTATTAGATCTGGTAATACAGGAAGAGATGTAATGGAGTATTATGCTAAAAAAAAAATTGGTAAGTATACCAATAGTGATACTGAAAGTAATGCTGGGGATGGTCCAACAGTAAGACCTGCATCACATATGTATGGACCACCATCCACTAGTGCTCATCATTTTTTTACACCACAATATACTAGATATTCTCAACCATCACCATCTCATAGCGGAGAATCAATTCTCTATTGCTTTGAACCTCCTTATAGTCATGTGTCACAAGTAATAAAACAAAATTGAATTAGTAAAAATTGTATAGAAGTGTATTATATATGTACTATATGTATGTTTATTATTATTTTTAAAAGTTTCATCATAGTCACTCACCATCGGTTGATGTACATTATAATAGACATACAACTAGATCTCCTCATCGCATAATGAATAACATTGGTTATCGTGGTGAAGACATGCCTGAATCATATCACAGTTATGAAGTTGGTACATTTCCTAGAAAAAGGGAAAATCCCAGATTTAGGTATATTATTTTTTTTATGTAATTAAATCTTGGTTGAGATGAAATAGTTTTATATTTTATTATTATTATTTTTATTTATTAATTAATTTAGAATACCTTCCAACCCAAGTGTCACAAGTAAAAGTAGTGGTGGTGCAGGTATCTCCACAGGAAGCATTGATAGATCTGTATGTAGTGAAAGGGACAGTCCCATGCCTACTTTTACAGTAGAAGTTCTTAATCCTGGACAAATTACTATGCCAGCCAATAAGCGACAGTCATTACCAGAATATGGTTGGACATCAAAGTTAGTGTTAAAATTAAATTATTATTTTTAATAATTGCAAATAATTGTTAATAATTGTACCATACACTTATTAGGTATGTAAAGAAACCATTATTAAGAGGTGTAGGAAGTGGTCCAATAACCGGAGAATTGAGATGGATAACTATAGAGAAATCTGTTGAACCACTTGGAATTCAAATATCTTGTGTTGATAGTGGTGGAGTTTTTGTATCTACTGTTAGTGAATCAAGTGTGGCATCTAAAGTTGGTCTACAAGTTGGTGATCAATTACTAGAAGTGTGTGGAATAAACATGAGAAGTGCAACTTATCAGCTAGCTGCAAATGTTTTACGACAATGTGGAAACTCAATTACCATGCTAGTTCAATATAATCCTGAAAGTATGTATTTTATTAATATTTTAATGATTGTCTACAAAATAGTTCTAATGGGTTGATTGTTATTACTTTAATTTTAGAATACCAGGAACTAGAAGGTGCTGAAAGTTCAACTAGTAGTCGTTCAGAAACACCAACACCATGTAACTCACCTACTGTTAATAGAAAAGCTATTGCTGGTTCAGTTATAACTCACGGTATGGCTACATTAACTCGCCGAAAGAGTGATCGAAATTCAGATCGAAGTTTGAGAGCTTATGAGCCACGTTATTTCATTATGGAAACAAGAAAATGTAGTAATTTGGGAATAAGTCTGGTTGGTGGAAATGCAGTCGGAATCTTTGTACATAGTGTGACTGTGAATTCATTGGCATATGGTGCAGGTTTACGGTAAAGTTAATATAAACTTGGTTACTTTAAATTTTAATCCTAATTATACATTTATACTCTGTGTCCATAATTTTTGATAGTACTGGTGATCGTATTCTTGAATATAATGGAACAGATTTAAGAGAAGCAACAGCTGAAGAAGCAGCTTATGAATTAGCTAAGCCAGCTGAAAAAGTCACAGTTCTTGCTCAATATTCGATTGACAGTAAGTATTTTTGTTGTTACAAAGTTATTATATTTTAATAATTTATTAATTATTTATTTTTATTAAAAGAATATAATGAAATCAAAGATAAGCCTGGTGATAGCTTTTTCATACGAGTACTATTTGACCGAACAATTGATTTAGTTGATTTACCTAATAACACTTCTCAATTACAATTTCATAAAGATGATGTTCTTTATGTGGATAATACAATGTTTAATGGAGTTCCGGGAAATTGGAGAGCTTGGTTCGTTGATCACAATGGTTATAAGCAACAATGTGGAATTATACCTAGCAAATATAAGTAATTATTTTTTTAATACAAATTATTTAATTTATTTTAATTTTATTATTTTGATTTAATTTTTTATGGTTAGAGTTGAAGAAGAACTTTTAATTAGACGTAGTGGCAGTGAGTTAGAAGGTGATGCAAGACGTGCTACAAGACGTAGTTTCTTCAGGCGTAAAAAGCACCAACGTAGCAATTCCAAGGAATTGGCTAGTTTTTCAAATATTAACTTGGGATGGTATAGTAGTGACTCTGGTACTTTACATGATGACTCTCTTGTTATTGCTTCTTACCAAAGAGTAATCAGATTAAATTGTATGTATTAATTTACCAAACCAAAAACACAGGAGATATTAGAATATTTTATTTATTTCAGCTGAACCAAGCATTCGTCCTGTGATGGTAGTTGGACCTCTTGCAGATTGCGTAACTGATAAATTAATAGCAGATTTTCCAGATTTATTCATGCGTTATATACCAGAAGCTAAACACTGTTCTCAAGCATCAATGGAAAAAGGAGTTGCTGATAGTCTGTTCATAGATTATCGGAAAAAAGGGTCGGTTTATGAATGTGTTTCTGTCTCTGGACTTAAAGAGGCTTGTAGCAAAGTAAAAATTTAAATTTATGCTAAATAAGTAGCAGCCATTTTATAACAATCAAAATTAATGATTATTTTACAGAATTGTCATTGTATAATTGACATTGGTCTTACTAGTGTAGAAAGGCTTCATCGTCATCATATATATCCTATTGTTTTATTAATTAAGTTTAAATCTACTAAACAAGTAAAAGAAGCTAAAGATTCAAGATCATCTCATGATAAAATTTCTGCTAAAGCAGCTAAAGAAATGTATGAACATGCGTTAAAGTTAGAGTCTGAATATCGACACTATATTTCTGGTAAATAAAAAAAATTATTTAGTATGATTATTTCTTATAAACTTTATAAAAGTAAAATGTTATATTATAGCCATTATACCAGCTGGAGTTAATGTGGCTTATATGTGTACACAAATTAAAGCGGCAGTCGATTTAGAACAAAGTAAAACACTTTGGGTTCCTTCACCAACACCACTTTAAAAATAAAGTCTTCCACGATTCATTGTTCCGTCCAAAAAAAATTAGTTTAATTATCATTATTATTATTTTTTATTATTATTATTATTATTGATATTATTGCTATTTAACTAATCTGGGTAATAATATTAAATTATATATTGTATTACCCTTATACATTGGTTGGTTGTTGGTCTTTTTTATGTTAATTTTGTTTTGTGTTGCTTGTAACAAATTTAATGCATAACGCATTATAAACAGTACTTAGTGATATAATACACATTTACCTACAAATATTACTTTTTATTAATAATAAATAATTTTAATATTTTTCCACTATTTTTTAAAGTTAAAACATTTTTTTCAAAGATATTTATTGAATTTAGATTTAACTTGATTTTTGATTGAAGTCTTTAAACTAATAACTGCTTCAATATCTTATTGATTTGCAATTATTTTTAAAAAGTATCCCAATGAAAGAATTGTAACAACATTTGTAATCTAAAAATAATAGAATGTGTCTTCAGGATTATTAAAAAAATTTAAGGAACTATGATAGTTAATAAAATATCATTAACCTAATAAAAAGGAAAATAACCGATTGAATTTAAAAATTCCAGATATTGAGTATAACTACTTTACATAATATATTTAAGGGGCTTGTATCTTGTTTTCTGAATTATTTTTTATCATTTAACATTACAATATTTTTAAGATACTCTTAAAAGTATTTCTTGGAATGAATTCGTATAGAAGTATGCAATGTCAAATGACTGTAAATTATAAATTTCATTTTCAAAATTATATTTCTTATTTAATGAAGGATATTATTTTTTATTTAATCATAAATTTATAAAGTTTTTTAATATTCTATCATTGAGTATACATTCATAATAGTTGTGTCCATACTTGTGTCCATACTAACCTTGTGACCTAAAAGTATTGTGAAAAATAGGGATTGTATTTAGTGATTTCATCTCTTAAATGAGTATAGACATTTTTTATGAAGATTGACTCTCTTTAATAAAATCTACTTAATAGTCTTTTGGTTTAAACTTTTAAAATTATGTAGTTTATAATAAATTATTAATTAATTAAAAAGTATTATTTTAGGCTTAAATGTGTATTATAAATACATCAAAAATTGTTTATTGAATTTATTATTTGTGTTGGTGAGCTATTATTTACCCTATAAAATATGTTTTTAGTTTAAAATTATAATAGACTATTATGTATGTTATAAATATACTGAATTTATTTCAAATAAATCATTTTGTGTTTATATTTGATTATTGTATTATTATTTTCTAGGTATTTTTATATTAATATTCCAGTTAATATATAACTGAAAAAATTTAAAACAAATAGTTGAAACGAAGTTATTTAAACTAAGTGGAAAAAAAGAAGTAGATATTATATCATATTTTTAAGTATGTATTAACAATTTTGTTTAATACGTTTTGATAACTGAAAATACATGCAGGTTAGATATTTTAAAACACTTTCAATGCATTATTTCACACTACAATACATACAAATAATACATTTTTTATTTGAAGCATAATTATTTAGAATGTAAAAATGCATTAAATATTTTAACCAGGAATTTATAGAAGTAGCTCAGGAAATTACTTGTCTTTCAGGAGGCTAATTGATGAGACCTTCCCAGTTCCTTTTTTTTTTTGTTTTTTTTTTTTTAGATTCTGAGTAAAACAAAGATTGTAATTGTATTGGTTTTACTATGATGTGAGTCTTTTTGTATCTATACTGGATTTTGACCATAAATATTGGTTAGATCATCACAGTTATCAAAGGTTTCTGATTGCAAGTGTTATTTAGTTGAAGACATAATTTGACGAAATTTCAAATATTTTTCTTAAAACATTAAAAACTGACAAAAAATAGAAAAGACTGTAAAATCAATGGCATATTGGTTTTCGACAAAATCAATTTTATTTTTTTGTCTAACTCAAAAAAAGAAACTTGAAATTATCTTTTAATGCTTAAATCATCATTTGCTATAGATGATGTAATTTCAAGAGATTACATAAAAATAACAGGTTTTCTTAGTTTTTTTTCGTAAAATGTCAATAAAATTATTTTAGTTTTTTGAAACCAAAAAACAAAGTCTTGAAATTGTATCCTTTTACTTAGGTATATCTTACTCCCTGTGTGCAATGTGTTGACAATGATATCTCATAGACATCGGCAGTGGCGTAGCCAAGGGGGGGGGGGTTAAGGGGGCTATAGCCTCCCCCATGGGCCATGTTTATATGTATAATGTATCTTGACTATTTAATAGAATCAATGCTCGTTTTAATCAAAGGCTTATTGATGTTATGCCACTTGAAGGACTTATTCCGGCCAATTTGAATATGTATGACGATAAAAATATTATAAAAGCTGCTAAAATATATGTCCAAGATCTCCATGATGATACCTCATCTACAATCAGAGCTGACCTGATCATATGGAGGCAACAATGGAGTCAAAATACTATTCCAAAACCGAATTCTGCTCTTGATTCACTCTCTCATCGCACCAATCTTCGACCTAACATTAAAATACTTTTACAATTATTCGCTACGTTACCAGTTACCTCTTTCACTCCGGAAAAAACGTTTTCAGCACTTAATCGCTTAAAAAATTTTTTAAGAAGCACCATGTCGGAAAACAGACTGAATGGGTTAGCTATGACTAATATAAATAAAAAAGAGCAATTCGATGAAAGTGAAATAATAACTGAATTTGCCAGAAATTTGCCTAAGAGAATGCAGTTGTCAGAGTGGAGCAAGTGACTGAACACTGAAACCAAAATTATTATTATTATTATAAATTATATATTAATAAATATTTTTAGAAATATACTAAAATGCTTGAATTACGTTTAGAACTTGGTTGTAGATGGTGGGGGGGATTAAGGGTAAATTCTCATATCCTCTCTTACCTTACTTATCCAAAAAAAGTGGTTAGCCCCCCCCATTTAAAAATCCTGGCTACGCCACTGGACATCGGTCTATGATCTCAAAGCTAACGTTTACGGTATACATCTCTGATACGTCAATGAGATGATTGTAAAATTATAAAAACATACATCACAAAATCAACATCTCCTCGAGTGTAATGTTGTGATTGTGATGTCTCAGAGATATTATAAACTATAATTATAAAAATATTGGTTTACGATTTTAAAATGATTTATAAATAAACAACATCTTAATTCACAATATCACATTGCGTATTGTAAATAATCTAAAAATAGATAAAATAAAATATCCCAATGTGATAATGTCAATAATATTAGCGTTATTATTATTATGACGTTTAACCTATAATATAACATTTCTGTATACGAGACAGAGTATATATCTATGGATCCATGGAGTGTGTATACATAATACCATTGATTATAAATAGTATAGATAGCTCACTGCAATACAAAATACGCGGCTCGTTAAATGGCGGGTGTCGCTACGAGGCGCTCCGCGCAGTTATTAGTTTTGACGGGTGTCGTTATAATCGCTAGTAGTTTACAAAAGTGGGGACTGCCATTTGGGT